CCCCCCCCCCCCAAACTTATCCTAGTAATGGTTTACGTCAGAACAACAGGGACTACAATTTACTAGTAGACAGTTTACATGAGTCAGGCTTTGCATCTTTTTCAGGCTTTGCACACTTTAATAGCTCCCAATCTCTCAGGTATCTTGCATGCTATCCTGCTGTTTCCAGCACTTCACTCCCCCCTGAAAAATCTGCACCCCCATAACAAGTCAGGTTCCCTATCATCCAAGAATACTAGGTCAGAACTCCTACACCTCACTAATATCCAAAAATTAGGTTCTTATGTAAAATGTTCAGACAATAGGGGTCCCCTCCAACCTTATACACATGTCATTTTCTGAAAATGCCCTGCCGGTACTTCCCTGGGAAACATTCATAAGCAAGGCCAGGATCCTATTGCCAACTTATATAAAAAAGCAGCACTGTCATCTCTACATAATATCTTATTGTCTTTAGGAAAACCAAAGATTAAACTGTACAGAGACAAAGAAGGAAATTTAAAAGGAGATGCAAGATGTTGCTATCTCAAGGTTAGAAGAAGGCCTGAAGGCCCAAGTAATTTTCAATAAAATAAAAAACTAATTATATTTCTGTTAACTATAAGCTACAATGGACTCCCATTTTGATATTTTGTACTATCTATTCTATCATTCTATTACAGATTGAAAGTGTTGACTTAGCTCTTAAGTTACTAGATGATTCACATTTCAAAGGAAAACAAATTAAAGTAGAAAAGGTAACTTGCCTCAAACTAGAACTTCACAATTTGATGGAATAACAGGAATAAACAATTTAGATTTTTGATTAACTTGTGTATTACTTTAGTTTTTACCTTAACTCTACTTCACCAGGCTCATTTCGAGATGAAAGGTATGTTTAATGCTTCTCTAAAACCTAAGAAGAAAAAGAAGAAGAAAAATAAAAAAGGGAAAGGGCAAGATAAGTAAGACAACGTTCAATTGATTAGTTTTTGAAAACACCACAAGCCCCGAATTTGTCATTGAGGAATTACCATCAAAGCCTTCGTTTGGTTATCTCTCTAATGGTAAAATGCACTGTATGCTTTTTTTTTTTAGATTATTGGATTGGGTTGATAGGGAAGAGAAGACATCTAAACTTGATCGTATTGTTGTCATTAAGAACATGTTTGATCCAAATGATTTTGAGGTAAGGAAACAACTGATCAGACAACTTTTGCCTAAAACTGTCGCATGCAACCTGCTTACAACTTGTACTGTGTAAATCAAGCTCACAACTCACCTAAGTTGCCGTAGGTGAGTTGTGTGTTTGATTTAATAGTTATACACAGTACAAGTTGTAAACAGGTTGCATGCGACAGTTTTAGGCAAACATTGTACGTGTAGTATAAATCGGCGTTTAGGAATTGATTTCCAGAGATTGATTTCTCTCTAAAAAAGACATATTCACTGTTCTCCAGGATGAAATCTATTTTTCGACGGTCCACTGTATAAACTATGCATATGCTTTGTACAAAATACTTTACGTACTGTTAATTCCATTGTCTTACAATTACTTGTGTTCTGTCTCCAGAAAGATCCAACGGCAATTTTGGACCTCAAGAATGATATAAGAAAGGAATGTGAAAAGTATGGCGTTGTACGAAAAGTGATGGTGTTCGATGTAAGTTACATGAAAAGCTCGTGTCTTATTACAAATATAAGTTGCTGGTACTACACTGCTCTATGACAGTATATATGAGACAAAATTAGTTAAAATATTCCCTTGCGATATGTTTTCAGAGACACGTTGATGGTGTGGTATCCGTTGGCTTTGCTGAAATTGAACCTGCAGATGTATGCATACGGGTAAAGGAGGTTTATTTATCCTTGAAAAGTATTCGCGTCGTATCATATCACTATAGTTAACTGTATAGGCTTACGAAATCTTGATTAACACAGTTATGTTTTAAAATGCCGACTAAACTGCAAACACTAGCCTAAGGACAGATTTTTCCCGAAGGTGGGCAAACTAGGAATTCAAACATTTTACCACAACAAAAGTCACACCTGGGAAACAATTTTGTGAATTTGTTGGTAAGCAAACCTTCCTGGCAAGCAAACCTTCCTTGTTTGCGCGACAATGTTTTCAGGAGTGACAAGACAACATTGTTCTTGACATATTCCGTCGAAGTCGTTCATTACACTTGAATTTTATTGTTGTTTCAGGAAATGAACGGTCGTTGGTTTGCTGGCAGAAGACTTGTCGCTCAGAAATGGGATGGTGTCACGAAATATGATGTCGAAGAAACGGAAGAAGAGAAAGAACAACGATTGAAAAAATGGGAAGAATATTTAGAAAAACAAGAGGAAGAAAATGACTGAATGTTCATTAAAAATGTGTGTGAATATGATCAGACTTTGAAGCCTTAGCAAAATTTAAACTGTCCTAAGAACTCCCAAAAGAACTGTACAGCGTGCGTGGGGTCCATTGTAAAGCTGTTCTACAATAATAAGCTTTCGTGGTTTGTGTCTGAATTGCAATGAAAAGGAAGCCTAGGATCAAAGTGCATGTTTTAATCTTTTTCATGTGGTGGACACACAACCTACGGCAGCTTATTGTCCGTTCAACTTCATACTCCAATTCATAAAGATGTAGTTCACAAAATAACGTCCGAAACAGTTGGGTTTTGTTGCACCAACGAGTAACTTTGTTGAACGTTTCTTGTGTGATCAATAAAACGTAAGAACTGCAGATTGTAGAGAAAACTGCAAGTGTATCTGCGACCTAGAAAATATATTTCTCTTCTTGACAGCAAAATCCAAAAATAAAAATTTCCTGTGTAAGTTAAATATATTATATAACTTCCTTCATTACTGCCACGCGAGAGCATATCAGCAGCAATGGTGCAGTAATATTATAAAAGCCTGGTTCACATATGCCTGCGGTGTGTCGGCGGGCTATTGTCTTTAGCAGTTCAACCAAATAATTCACAAAAGAATGTATGCATCAACAGCTGTAAACAATGACGTCGCCGGCATATCGCAGGCATATGTGAACCAGGCTAAACATACGCATTCCCTTGGGACTTGTTGATGGTCCTTTTGGCACACCACAAGTCAAAGTTTAGCACGTGATTTGCACGCACCATGTTGATGGTAAAATATACATACCATATACATTACCACGTGTACACCATTTCGGTTTGAATGGTCTGGAATTTAAATCCTGTTTGAAATCAAATTGCTTTGGAATGAATTCCGTTCCTTTGAGAACAATGGAAGCGAACAATGACAGTTTTGGTGTTATAAGTAATACTGAAGCTGAATTCATCGATAAAGTTATGCTGCTTGCCAGCGATGCAGACTGTAGTTATTTAACAGTTGACTGTATTTCTGAACTGTCTCAAACAGAACCAGCACAGGACGACAACTGTTCAGTTGAGGTTATCAGCGACACTTGTAAAGTGCATAAATATTACACAGAGACGGCTGAAACGATTGTTGAGAACCACTTCACTCGCTCGTTTCTTGCTCAAAGTTTAGTCCAGTTAACGGAGCCGGAGGCAAATATGGATGAGCGAGATCCGATTAAGAAAACAGGTATCTATTATTATTATTATTAATAACATATTTTTACCAGGGTAAACCCGTCCGCAAACTAAGCTGTCATAAGTGTTATCAATGGGTGCTTTGGGTGTATATAATTATGTACAATAAAATCGTTAAATCCTAAAGCTAAAAGTATATAAAATGATTAAAATAGTTCATAAGATGTCTTTTAAACAAGTCAGTAAATCATGATAGATTCTTAATATGTCCAGGTAAATCTTTAGCTCACAAATAATAGAACGACTTCGTTGCAGTTTCTGTTCTAACTATTGCATGGGAGAAAATATCTAGATTCTAGGCCATTTCTTCTCGTATTGTCGTACTATATTGGCACGAGTTTCGTTTTACTGACGTGCGCTGGTCAGACTAAGGAAGCGGACTGGTTTTGCATAAGAGTCAAACGAAAACCACGACTGAATATTATACCACGCGCTTATCAAAAACTCTCGAGTCCATAGGAGTCGATGAGAGTTTAAACTTATGCGCGTTTGACCACGGCTGCGTTGTTCAAAGTACGAATAACGTCAACCTTAACCCGCTGTTTTGATTTGTGTATTTCTGCACGTCGGTAATTACGGTATGTTTTAAAACTTTGGAAAATGAAACTTATATTGATTCAGACAAGATCAAGCTGTTGGGAAATTGTCTTTGACGTTTAATGCCAACTAGGATTAATTAATCGGCTTTCGAACAACCCATGGCTTTAATTTGTTGGTTAATATAATTTTTAAATTTCCCGCTTCGCATACAACTAGTTTAACCATCAGCTATAAAAGATGCATCATATTTGTAACGGAATTAACATATATGAACACTTTGGGAAATCCTACATAGACGAATTACTGTGGAAAGAGTTCGCTTTCTAGGTGTAAATTTGCATATTCATCAGTTTTAGGCCTGTTTCAAACGTCGCGCTTCTGATGTGCCGAACAATTAAAAACAATAGACGATCAGTTGAAATGCCTCATCTATTGTTTCTAATGCGTTCGGCACATGGGTAGATAGACGTTACCATATGTTACAGTATACACGATAAACAGACTTTATCTGCGACTGTTACAATAAACTACAACAACGATAACGACAACAACAAGGGTAGATAATGTCCAATGCATGAAAAAACTAACTGTGGAAAACTTTTCGTCTTAGGAGCGGCGAAGCGAAAGGCAAAACGAAAACCAACAGTGACGTCATTATTGCCATCTCGTGCTCAAGTTACAACAGATGCCCGCGTCCATCCTTACAGCCTCATGCAGCCCGCACGCAGGCCACAACCCAGTCCTCCTAGGAGAGTAGAGTTCAATGGTGGAGCTTACCGCTATGTGACTTCAGTTCCACAGTATTGCGTACAATATCAAGCATACAGTATTAAGAATGAAAGTGATGTTAAACCACCTGTTTACAAAGCATTTTGTAAAGGGAATACGCTTATTGAAGTGTATTCCCCATCTGTTGGTCGAGGATTTAATCCTAGATATAATTCTCTACTGATTGAACCTACAGTACAAGCATTTTTACCGCCTGTCACTGGACTAAATACAACTATGTCTGCTGCAATGGCTGATATGCACACTTTCCTTCATATGGCTATTGAATTTAATATTCCGAGTTAAATGATATCGTATTTTTGAAAGAATGAGCTTGACTTATTTGATCAGGTGTATGTAATACACGTAATTTGTTGCATCGTGTTCTGCATGATTAATTTCTTTTGAAATCGATTGTTTTTAAGGTCTGTGAACACGAATATATGAATATGGTCCCCCCCCACTTATCGATCTTTTGACGCCTATGATTTGTTGTGTTTGACTAAAACTTATAACAAGCTTGTTACAATCACCGTATCTTGTCACAATGTTGTTGCAATCTTGTCACAATCTTGTTACAAGTGTGTTGTAAGTTGTTCCAACTTGTGACTTTTCACGATATTTGATTTGTTGGAATTGAATTCTGATGTTCCAAATTACAGTTTGAATAATTAATGTTGTTGTGGCTAGTATTTGATAATTTGAATATGCAATCATCTTGTGTGAAAAATAAATGAATATTTCATGTGTTATATGTCTGTAAATGTCTGTACTCTTCGATTTAAAAAACCTTTTATTATTATCCGGTTTTATCCCTATGTTAAAATCTAGAACCTAGCGTATAGCTACAACTTGCATAATTTTCTACTGTGCTTGAGAACAGTCAACACACAGTCATAAACAGAATAAAAAGTCTGTAAAATCCGAATAAGCAAGTAAGAGACAGAGTGAGTCACTTTACAATGACTATATGTACCAGAAAACGACCTATTGGATAGAACTCTGAGAATTGATTGAATAGTTTATAGTTTCGTTACTGAAGGGAGTGAAGATTCTTCATTTCCACTTTTCTTTTTTTGGAAAACAAAGACTTTATGATGATGTCATGATGAATGGTAATTAGCAAGCATAATAATAATTGCCAACAACAGGCCCGTCAACTAATCAAATAATGGATTATATGAAATCTAGTGTGTAGAGGTGAATGTGCTTTTGCTTAGACGCCATGCTGAGCGTTCAGTTGCGCCGCAAACTCTGGACTCTTGTGGGTTGTACAGTGCAATATCTATTATAAATTGCTACAGTAAGACTTTTATTCATTTGTCAAAGATATGTCAAATAATATTTGCTAAAAGTATTTTACCAACTGGCTTGGCAAAATATTTCTTTGATGTCGCTTTGCTCGAAAGATCACAATGCAAAAATTTCTAAATATTTTCTGCGCTCGAGCGCCAGTGATTGCCACATTCCAGAATGTTGTGCATACCAGCACTGCATTATGGGATAGATGGAAGCCATTTGCAGTAGAATTTATACAACAGGGATGTGTCGCTGAGGAGTAAACACATCGAAAAAACGACGAACTGAAGGATTTTTAAATTGATTTTGAAGTATTTCACACTTGAAGAAGACTGAAATATTATTATGTGATTCCGTAGACAAAAAGCGATTCCCGATTGCGCTTTTTGACACAAGAATGCCTTTGATTAAACGAGAAATTCAACCGGTTTACGTAAGCCGGGTGAAACTTCAGAAAGGTCTAGTAAACGAGTTTGAATGTGTGTCAGTTAGTACGCTTTCTGGTATAATACGACAGATCAGTAATTTGGCGAAATATTCCGAAGATGTTTTTGATGAGATTCTCCACGAAGCAGACAGTTTACATAAACGAGCGACATCTTTGCAAGGAAGGATATCTGGCCTGGCTCAAAAAGTCACTCAACTCGACTCATCCGTTGAGGAAAGTATGTGTGCAAATCGTTATTTGTCTTGGTTATTTAAACTTTAGATTGTTAATAAATCATGGCTACTGAGAAATTAATGATAATTTATTGTATGTCTAAGCCGTGTTCGATGGCAAATCTGATTATAGAAGTTACAATTAGGAAAGTTCCTTGATATATTATATATATATTTGGCGATTTTCATTTTTCAGATTTTATTTCAATTTAAATGCATATGAGTAGGAGTAAACATCATCCCTTAGAACATATTAAGATATTCGAAAGTGTATCTATTAAATGTATTGCAATAAGAATGCGTATGTTCATGTCATATATATAGAGTAAACAAACTTGAAATTTATTCAACCGTCTGTCATTGTCTGCATATTTTTCAGCAATACTCGCGCCAAAGTGTAGGTTAATTTCAGTGCAATATTAAATTTAATTCCTTAGGATGACAACGGTGTTTTAGCCTTGGGAGTATTAAATTTGTCTGGCTTTAAAAAGAGTAAAACAATTTAGTGAGTACTTTTGCATTGTGGCTTAATAACTGCGTTTTAAAGCCACCCACCACTTTCCACTTGACAAGTAAAATTGCCTGACATTAGATGGGCTCTTTTAGGGTGGGTATGAATGTCGCTTGTCAGATTTTCAAAACAAGTATTAAATATTACTGCTTGAAATCTAAGCGATATTGCTTTGAAATTTTATTTTATTTTTTTCTACCTTTTTCATGTCGCTGTCAAAATTTAATTAAACAACATTTGTGTCGTATGTTGCAATTTCATTTTCTGTATGTCACCATTTCAATGATATATTGCCTACCAGAATTTACCCTAACAGTGCCTCGCATAGCGAAGTAGGACAACAAAGTATAATGCAACTCGATGGGTTATCAAGAGATATGGTAGATGAATGAATTAACAAAACACACTACCATAGGAAGCAATTTTGTATTGGGGCTGATTGTCAGGGGCAATTATTAGGGTTTTATTTCCCTCTCAAACTTTACAGATTATCACTAGTTTACAAATTATTGGGGAGGCCCCCCCCCCTGGTGTCTACGGCCCTGAACACTTTTCAAGTAAAATCATCTGGCATTAGACAAAGTAATATTGTCGGACATTAGACAGAGTAAAATTGTCTGGCATTAGACAAAGTAATATTGTCTAGCATTAGACAAAATAACATTATCTGGCATTAGACAAAGTAAAATCATCTGGCATAACAAAGTAATATTGTTGGGCATTATACAAATAAAATTGTCTGGCATTAGACAAATTATAATCTTTATCTCTCTTTCTAGTTTCCCTACAAGATATCAATATAAAAAAGGCATTCAAGTCTACAGTTATAACAGACCAACAAGTTGTGGGTAGAGCAACGTTGCCCAAATCTATGTTTGAAAGATACACTGCATGTGATGCCCCACCTCGACTGCAGAATATGAATTCATATCGAGATGATGGTAAAGATGCGCTGAAGTTTTATACTGACCCAACTTATTTCTTTGAATTATGGAGAGAAGAAATGAAAAAAGAACAAGACAGGAAAAAGAAGAAAAAGGTAAAATGTTTTGGCACACAATAAGGCCCCGTTTACACTATACCGGATTGCTATCGGAGTGGGTCAAATTTTGTAGTTATCGAAAGGCTGTGAAGATTTTTAATCTCAGAGACCCAAATAAACATGCCAATTCTGTCAAACTAATAAGCATTTGCTACTAACCATTGCTCCGTAACGGCAAAAGAAGATGTCGTGACCAGCGAATCCGGTATAGTGTAAACAGGGCCTAAATGTAAGATCAAAGAACGTCTGAGGATAAACACCTCGAGATGTAACAATTGTGGGTTTAGAACAAAATTAGATTAACTCTTAGTGGCAAAAGGTTGTGGGTTTGATTCCGATATGATCAAGTCTTGCCCAGGGCGGAGTCACTCAGAGTGAGAAATCAAAGGTATGGACTTAAAGTCTGTAAACAAGATATTATGTTTTGGTTTTATTATAAATAGTGGGGACATTTGTTCTTACCATGTATAAATGGCCATAATAACAAATGGGTCTTTCAGCCATAACTCTGTGAACCAAAAGATTTTGGGAATTAAAGTTTACATCAACACAAGGCAACCAAATATGTTGGCAACCAAAATTTGCATTTCTGTGTGAAGTGCTCACAAGTGATTTACAAATGTTAACCACTTATTGAAGTATCCAGTAGGTTCCTTTTCAAAAGACACTCCTCTTGAAGGGTAAAATAATATAGTTGGTGCATTTGGGTGTGTTGCTGCTTGTGATACATGTATTATTATATTTTGCAGAAACACAACCGGAGTGCAGGCAGAACACAGTCTCAAGTGAAAGTAAAACATCTCAAGAGAAAAGTATATTCTGGTAAAGATAAAGAATTAGAAACATCCAGTGCAAAATATTCTATAGAAGATAGCTCAGTTGGAACCAATGAAATTAAACCTCCTGAACAGAATGGCTCACTTCCAAGCCCCCCACAAGCATTATCTCCTGATGGGACAATTATGTATGACGAAAGACGAGCAACGTCAGCCTCGCGAAGAGGAACCGCAGCAAAAATGCCCCGCCCCGCTACAAAACCACCTCCACCCCCTCCGGTGCCAAGTCAAGTAGAGGACTTCCCATTACCCCAACCACCCCCAGATTTCCCACCACCACTATCACTGGATGTCCCTCCGCCGCCACCACCACCACCTGACCCGAATATCTTTGCACCACCACCACCACCTTTGCCAACCATCCAACCAAATCACCTCCCATCCTCAATAACCCCAAATGAACCTGCACAGCCCCCCGAACCCAAGCCAATTGATGCTCGGACTGACCTACTGGAAGCCATTCGGACTGGGATGAAGTTACGGAAAGTACAAGTGGAATCGGAGAAGAAGGAACAGCAAACTGTGGGTATGGATGTTGCGTCTATACTTCAGAGACGTATTGCAGTAGAATACTCAGACACTGAGAGTGAAACAGGGTCAGAATGGGACGATGATGACGAAGAATGGCAGGACGATGACGATGAATAGGGGACCTATGTGGATAAAACGTTTTCTGCCCAAGGGAATTAGTAATTTGCCTTAAGTGTCAGTTAGGGTCCTTTATAAGGAGACTATTCTCTCTGCATGATAATAAGTTACCATAAATGGGGAAAATTTCTATCTTGAGGCATTGTTTATGTTTTGAGAATACATTGTATTACCAGCATATATTTTGTAAGTAATTAGATTATGGAGTTAAATAAATTATAAATGAACCCATAAGCCGGCTGAGAAGGCTGCCGAAGGCCTAACTCCATGTGATAAAATGTGGCTGCAGATGTTTTGGTAGCACATGAATTGCTTCATTTTTGCAGTTTTCTTTGACTTGCCTTTTGGCATTTCATCCTCTGCAAAGGAATCTGGCCTTCAGTAAGCATTCTACAAGGCTTTAAGTCCTACTAACTCTTCAAACACCCTTCCAATGTTTGTTAGAGAATAGAGGTTTCACATGACATATGTGAATTTTTCTTTTGCATCTGTTTTTGAGCCTCATTTTAATATACTTTGCTCCAGTGACAGGCTGGTGCACAGTTTTCATGCCACATTTTTGTTATTTAAAATTACTGTGTGCTGGTCACTCCAGGTTTTTAAAAAATATTTCTTGTAATATTGTACATCTTTCTCGTAATTTCTGGATAATAAAACCATATTCGAGTACATTATTTTATAGAGTTTTTCAATGTAATTTATCATATCAAAATCAATAGATACATTCATAATGGTGTGTAGTTCAGTGTTAAATTTATGATGTTTCAATACTGGTGGTACATTTTACTAGGTTCATCAGATCTTTTCAAGTACAGACTTTCCTTGTCTGCACTCCCTTGGAAGTGGTCGACTCATGGCAAAGGCTAGAAACAGAGAACTGTGGAAAAGCTTCATGAATATGACACCTCTTTATTTAAATCACCAAAAATCATTTTCAATATCACTTAGATTATCGAGTACATCTTGAGGAATGTCATCGTCAATATTATCAACCAATTCAGCTGGGCTAATACGACCATTGACTTGCACTGGGTCCATGTTACCATCGATTTGTGCCAAAGTGTTACCATCAAGTTCTGCAAAGATGTCATCATCATTCATCAAAGCTTCAAAATCATCATCTTGTGGTGGATTGTCTCCATGGTGGTTGCTTGATCTATCTTGTCTTGGACCAGTATTGTTCACCAATACTTCACCTTCCTTGCCATTTCTGCTCAATTCAAGAAATAAAACTCAGGAAAATTGCCCTGTTGCATATTTTTTGCTTTCGATTATGTCAAAAGAATTATCACAAGTTATAAAGTTATAGCAGAACAAATGAAATTTTTTTTTAAATTAACTTACCTGACAAGTCGGTTTAAAATATTCAATTGTGAATTTTCTTCGGTCAAATTTTGAACTTGTCCTCCCAAGATCTCAATGTTCTCATCTGTCAAAAATAGCATTCCAGATCTGCACAAAGTATCTGCATTAATCAAAACCTAAAACAAATGAATTGAAGAGCTGAGATAATTTGCAACTAATTTATATTCATCAGTATATTAATTAAAATGAATTACAAAGAATCTGAAACTTAAATTTGAAAAAGTTTCCAACCTTTGTTCCTGGTATTAAATCTGTGCTTAATTTTGTCATTGGTTGATATTCCATCCCTTCAATCGTCTGTTCTCCATCTGTCAGTTCTAATTTTAACATTCTACATGGCTGAGGCTGCCACTAATTGAGACAATAAGAATAACATATCTAAAGAGCTAGACCGAGTTCTGAGATATCACCAATTCAACCTCATAGCTTGGTGGGTACAGTGTTGGTTGATAGAGAGTTGGCAATCAAGTCCGCATTTGCCGATGCTGACCTGGATGCTCAGTCCCAAAACATTAAAATGTTTATAAAATATTAAGTTTTCTTACTGTTTGAGTTCTATTCTCATCAACGCTTGTATTCTCATTAACCTCATTTTTAAGTTTCTTCAATTGACTGTATGCGGATGCACCAATATTAACGATTGAATTCATCTAAAAGAATATGGAATATACTATTTTATCAAGCTCAGAGCTAGAGTCCACATTGCCTGAAAAATACAAGCAAACTTCAACAAAGGGCCTTCGCTCAAAATCTGCAATCAGGGGTGGATCCAGCAAGGTTTTTCTAGGGGGGGTGCTGGGTGAGCAGCTGAGTGTTTCTTTATAATTCTTTAGGGGGGGGGGTGGAAAGCATTCAAATGAATTGGCTTCCTAACGACTTGATCGCCGAAGGCGCAAGCTCCCTAGGGGGTCCAGGGGTATGCCCCTGGAAAAGTTTGAAAATTAGAAACCTTGAAATGCCATTTCCTGCGATATGGGCATTGCATTATGAGCTTCAGTTTGACTTAAAAAAAGGAAAAACCTAGGAAATTGTGCCATATTTCTAAATTAGATTTTTTGCACTCCCCTTGCACCCCTGTTGACCAAGGCCAACAGGGGTGCACCCCCCCTATAAATGGGTTGTTCCAGAAAAGATCCATACTCCCCCCACGGAAGAAATTTCTGCCGTCCGGAGGGGGAGAAAAAATTGTTTCTGATAATAGTAAATGTATTAGAACATCCGAAGGGGGTAGGGGGGTTAACTTCCAATTTCCTCTGTTAGGCTGGTACAGATGTTTTCTGGAATGACCTAATCCACCAGTCTGTAATAATTCTAGATGAAGACCTACCCATATCATTGAAATGAATATAACTGGAATGCTACGTCCGACCGACGGACCGTGTGTCTGGAGGTAAAATTTGGCTTCAAGAAAAAGATAGGCAACTTATCTGAAGGTAGCGTTCCAGTTATATTCATTTCAATGAACCATATATATATGTGTGCAATTATCTCTAACATGAAAATAGGATATCCAATTACTTGTAATGCAACAATTCTTTGTATGGAAGTAGAGGGAAGAGTTGATATTTGATCTGGTAAGCAATTGCTTCCACTTTCACTTAGATCTGACATTAACCACTGTTCATATATGTCATCTTTTAATTGCTAAAAGAAAGGAAGAACCCGATGAACCATGAATGGCACTATATTTGGAGTCTATCCAAGGCATCTCTTGAACGATGTACCGAACTTATATTTTATCTAAGATAATTCGCTTCGGGTCATTCCAGAAAAGATTCACACTCCCTCTTACCCTCTATGGACAAAATTCCTGTCCTCCAGGCGGGGGAAATCCACTTGTGACAGTTGGGGGGAGGTGGATGTTTTCTGGAATGACCCATCCTAGATTTAAAGCAATGCTATTCTATGGGGGTTTCTTCCCCATTCTTCCCCCATAGTATCATCTGCAGATCACCTTTCTACCTGGCGATTGCCATTAGGGAAGGCCCAGTGTGGAAAGTTTGTATCGCGCAGCGGATATCTCCGGCATGCAATTTTGATGCTTTCTATATAATTACTATTAAATTTTTGAAATCTCCGGCGCGCAATTTCCAAACTTTCCAGTCAGGGGAAGGCCAATTGACACACTTTCCCAAAAATTTAAATGGCCTTTCCTTATATCACTTTGTAAATAAAATACCACTTACACAGCTTATAAAACGTTTCAAATCTACAACAAGTACATTTACTAACCATATTTAAGTTTCCACGTGCTGTACCACGCGACTTCAACCAAGAAATACAAGCCTCAAGCCATTCAATATTGACAGTGACAAGCTTGGTGGTTTCTAACCATTCAAAAATATTCACAATTTCCTGCTCTGTGGCAGCCATAACTCAAGCAAAACTTCGCCTGAAAAGTTTATTTATCAAAAATGCAGCAGCAATACATTTTCTTTGAAGTTTTTGTGTTCAAAATTACAAAAAAGAATGAAAATTTGAAAGAGTAAAAATTTGAACTTCGTCGACGAAAAGCGCGCGAAATTTTGATTTGATACTTCCACTTTCCATTAGAACCATCCATAATTTATCCATCGGTATTTTCCATTTTCTATCAGAAATTTCCTTCACGAATAAATTAGTAAATATTTCTTTTTCCATAGTGTTGGAGTGAAAACTAAAGTACTTTGAACGGCAAAGATAAATTACTAGAGAAAGAAAACTATACATTACGATTCAAGAATGAATGGATAATGGCTATAAAACCCAGAATTAACACAGTACAACTAAAGACAGTATAACTAATTAGAAACAATTATCACTTTTGTTTTAAGTAATTGGTATTCACTCTTTGCACTTGCTTGTATTCAAGCTGCATTCCGTCAACTTATTGTCAAGTTCTCAATGGCAATCTTGAGAGCATGATAAAATACGTTAGTACACTGACTTTTGCAACACTGATACAATGTTGATCACCCAACAGACTTGTTATAACTTGTTGTCTTCCTGTCAATTTCAACACTGGTTGTCAAGTTCTTCTTGAAGACGCTCTATTATATTCTGAAGATAGTGCATGGTTTTACTCCTCACCATGACCATTCTAGCTGTCTTTATCGGAACAGTGAACCAGGCCTACTACATATATTCATCAGATTTCATTGAAATTTTCTGACTGCTGTTTTTTTCTTCTTTCGCACTTGCGTCAGTTTTTCTCGCGTCTCACCAAAGAATGTGACGTCACGGTCTTCCAGTTGCCGTTGCAAGAACTGCAGACCAGCAAGATTGAAGCCAACTACGTCCTGGCGAGGAAAGAACGGACAATTCAGAGATACATTTACAAACTTACAATCATGTACAAAAATGACGACACTTTTTTGCATTCCCTTCCTTTCTGTAATTTACCTTCCCCCATGTACAATATTGAGAAAAAATTGTGAGCCGACTGTCAACTTTAGTATCCTATTTAGAACATTGTATGAGGGGGAACTGTGCCTGAGCAACTGAGTACATGAGAAGGTCGAGAAGCGAACCACACAAGGCGATTTAGGCTTAACGTGCGTGAAGAACAGATACGAAGATCCTATGAAGAACACAAAAAACGTCCTACCTTCATTTCACGGACTCTGCTTCGTGTGTGTGATCTGATGGAGTCAATAATTGGAAGAAGTTCTGGAGTTGAGATTATTTTATTATGATGAATTCTGAAATCATACAAGTTGTTCACAGAGATTTAGGTTAAACCGTTAAAGCTACATTTAATATATGTGAATCGAGCAATACATGCATGTTAAGCCTGTTTTCCACAAGGCGAATTTGTTGGCACAAAGAGACTTTTTCCTTTGGCGGTATCGCTTATCACGTCAGCAAATTCGCCCAGTGGAAAACGGGCTTCACAAGGGCTTTACGTACCGTAGCAGAAAAAACAGACAACGGCAAGACAACTCTGTTTCCCAAGCGTTCTAAACAACATGTATAAAAACAGGAAAAATGAAAAATAACAGACAAATTGACAAGCGTTAGAAAAAAACAATTACACGAGTGTCTCACCTTGATCCATTCGAGAAGTAGTTTTAAAATATCGATGACATAATCAAATGGCAGTACAAGAAGAGATTCGTCCAGCTCACTGAAATAGATTTTTAAAACTTGAGCTAGACTGTTAAACCTCTCATAACGGGGAGGTGACTGAGAAGAGGGAAGGGAGCGCAAGTTCTGCCTCTCCTCCCCCCCCCCCGGTCTTACCTACCTAAAATGCTCATGTTTTGTGATCGGTTTTCAGGAACAAAAATTATCATTGTTTGTGACTCGTTCTTTAGAAAGACGATTTCTATGGTTTTATTGTCTTTCATTGTTATAATCAACCAACCACGAGGCTGGATAGTACAGGTAGATGATGACCCTCCCCCCCCCCGGGATAACATATATTGACTGATATAACAAAATGATAAAGTACCTGGACTTGATTTTTTTGACAACAAGGAGAACGTAGTGCACGGGCTGAAAGTAAAACAAAAACGTAATAAACAATTCCCGTTATAGACTCATTTTAAAACTAGGCAAGAAGATGCAAATAAATCACCACAGCTAGAAAGAGCATACTAAAATGAGTAAAATTACAAATTTTGGTTTGTAAAATGTGGAAAATATAGCCTTGCAAAGTTTGCAAATTTTGTATACTTTTGAAGAATTGCGTGCGGAAATTGCTACCATATTTGGGGCAAAAATGGTAGCAATTTCCGCATATGCAATACAAAAGAATACAAAATTTGCAAACTTTGCAAGGCTATATTTTCCGCATTTTACAACATTTCGCAACCAAACTTTGCAATTTTACTCATTTTAGTATGCTCTTTCCGGGAATATACTTTTTTTTTTGCCAAGGCCCAAGATAAAAAAATTAGTCTATAATGGGAATTGTCTATTGTTATAGAGCTTACGTTTGCCAATTTTCGCACGTAAGCTGTATTTACAAGTACTCGGCGTTTTTACTTTCAAATTTCCTTAATTGGACAAAATAATTTTCATTTGTAGATAGGGCTTTCAGAATTATTCTGAGTAGGTGTCTGTTTTGATAAAGTAGGCGGCTGTTGGGAGGGAGTGGTCTAGGGTGTCTTAAAGTCATCTTTATTAATCATCTATTGTATATTGATTAGATATAGCAACATCATTGATTAGACAGCAACACAACTGCATGAGCTCTGTAACCAAATTATAATGTATCACTACTTTCATTCTTCAACAAAATAACTTCAAGATTTAAGATGGCGAATAACTAAATCGGTTTTACGAAATAGTACGTCATTTTCGAAAATAACCAGGCTATAAAGTAGACCAGGTTGATGAAAAATAACTTTGTTTGAAAGCTCAGAGTGGAGAAAGGAGAGTAGAATTGATATTTCAAGTATACTAAACAAAGTAACCGGCGGTGAATCTCGTGCCACCCGCCGGAGCTCCGGCGGCCGCCGAGTTATTTTGAAAGCTCTGTTTCTGGATATAAACCATAATCGGTGAATTTAACATGCAATACAGAACAAGCAGAACCAATACAACAAACTATAAAAACACACATACAGTTACGTTTCCAAATGCAGCCAAGATAGGATGAACACTGCGTTTTGGAAGCTGTAATAAAGAGCGAAAATAACGAAATATAATCACGAGTTTTTGCGAGAATCTGTAGGCAATTCCAGCTATAGACAAAATTTTGATCTAGACAAGAAGAACAATCCACAGCTGGAAAGAGCATCTTAAAATGAGTAAAATTGCAAAGTTTGGTTGCGAAATGTTGTAAAATGAGGAAAATATAGCACTGTGAAGTTCGCAAATTTTGTATAGATTTGTATTAAGCGGTAAAAATAACCACTTTCGGCTCAAAAATGGTTATTTTTCCGTGCGTAATGCAAATCTATATACAAAATTTGCGAACTTCGCAGGGCTATATTTTCCTCATTTTACAACATTTCGCAACCAAACTTTGCAATTTTACTCATTTTAAGATGCTCTTTCTAGCTGTGGATTGTTCTTCTTGTCTAGATAAAAATTTAGTCTATAGCTGGATTTGCCTATTCCACGATGTCAGACATGAAAGGCGCTTGCTCTTGATTGATGATTCCAATTTTTATACTAAACAAACCTTTTTATCTGTTGCTGCTTGATTAGCTTCGTGTTCTAGTTCTTTCACTCTTTCTTCTTTGTAAAGTTCGATAGCTTCCATGATTCTTTCAGCCTTGTAAAAATATTTAAAATTTTACTTGTCGACTTTTTGCTGGTATGCGTGCCCGTGCAGACCCCTCGCTAAGTTTTGGACTTACTACGATTTTCACTCGGTTGGCATTGTCAGCTTTAATTATATTTTCATGCAGGCTATTGCCCAACGTTCAAACAAACTCACCCCTAATAGTTTTGTTTGTGGAAACACCACGTAAATTTATTACTGCAAAGCTTTCGATCCGTAAGCCCGGCTCTTCATCAGTGCTAATAATATGTAAGATCCGGGATGATGAAGATCATCACTGATGAAGATCCGGGCTTACGGATCGAAAGCTTTGCAGTAATAAATTTACGTGGTGTTTCCACAACCAAAACTATTATATGTTTTATCGCCATGCAAACATACAAAGAACTTATTAAACTCACCCCTTTTATAGTCTCAATTGTCTTCTTCCCAGGTTTAACAGCTTCCGAGTCTTGCTCACCTGGAATCTTTGCAAAGAACAAAAAAGTTGTAAGCTGTAAATACTCTATAAAACTCGCCTGACATCAGAACACCTCTGAACACAGAGTAATTACTTTTCAAAGCAAAACAAATTATCTTACTATGGTTTCGGCCCCTGTTACAGCACTTTCTTCATACACTGCCTCACGTTCCTAAAACATGAAAAAACAATTGAGAAGTGTACTTCCAGTTTCATTTTACTAAACACCGCAGGATTTCTCGAAAAAGTGATAGCAGTTTAGATTAGAACCGATAGAGCTATCCGGATAGAGCTAGTGTTTGTTAAGTAATATTTCAAATCCGACTATGAGGACTGGACTAGATTTCAAGTCCGCACAGTTTCATCGGAGGATTTGAAATGACATCTCAGATGGTTTTCTCCTGTACTAGTTAACACTGGACCAATAAAGAATTACATTACTAGACCTTTAGGAAGAACAGTGGATTAGAAAGTGATGACCCTTACTGGATCTCTAGGGAGAACAGTTTTGAGTGAACTGATAAAGAAACTTATACAAATAAAGTTAGCTTTAGTGGGGAAAATATAAGTGTATTATCTTACCATTTCTCTTTCCTCTTCGACAAATAATGGTTCATCAGTTCTTTCCCAGAGCCTCAAAGATTTATCATGTGAGCCACTGATCTGTAATATTGGTCAACTGGCAATGAGTATACGTTCTCATTAATATGCAAGCGGCTGCTAAACTCAGTGACGTCATGAGAAAATAAACCGCTTGCACAGAGGATTAGGGACTAGTCTGCTCTTTGATAGAGATTAAAGTAAACTATACAGTGTGTATAAAAAAAAACTGAACCCTTTCAAATTCAAATTAGCTATAACGTATTGTAGTAATTTGACAGCTCTAATTGCTTTGAATCAATGGTTGGGTAAGAACACAAGGTCTTGTACTCATGGGACGAAACTCAAAGAAATAAAAATTAGAAAATTTAAAAGTTTTTAAGAGTTTTGTCCCATGAGTACAAGACCTTGTGTTCTTACCCAACCATTAATTCAAAGCAATTAGAGCTATCAAATTACTACAATACGTTATAGCTAATTTGAATTTGAAAGGGTTCAGGTTTTTTTTATACACCCTGTACAGAAGACTTTCAAGACTTACAATGAATTCACCATCATGACTAAGAGCAAGGCACCAGATTTCAGAATGATGTCCTTCCAACGTCATCACATGCAGGAACTTGTCTGCATCCCAATATTTTATAGTTTTATCTTTACTTGCAGAAAAGAAATAATGAGTCTTTGGGACAAACTGAACAGCCATGACACTGAAAGATAATATATCTATTTAGTATACGACAATAATTGTAATTCTTCTTAACAATTGCAGCGACAATCTTTACCTGTCATCATGAGCAAATATGGACTTTCTACAATCTCCAAAATCCAGTCCCCAAATTTTGATGTTTTTATCCGCCCCTCCAGAAACTAAAAATGTACTGTCCTATGAAGAAAAAAGGTGTAAACGGGCAAGTAAAAGGTGGAAAAAGATAAGTGTAAAGTAGACAAAATATCAAATAAGAGAAATGTGGGGTTAACTAAATAACTACAAATTTCTCACTGATGAAATATCCATAGATACAACGGGTAACTTGTGGCCATACAAAGAAAGGAAAAACTAAAACAAGGAAAATGATTTTCATTAAAACGAAATATTTCAAACCGGTGTACAAATGTGGTATTAAACAAAAAAATCGTTTCAATATTTCAAATTATAGTAATGTCGCTACCTTTAGAGTATCGGAGAAAAAAACTTTGATGGTAAAATCAAGAAGTGCAACAGCAATGAATTTCTGATTTGGACTGTATAAAGAAAGATACATAATATACATTGCATGTTTCTGCGTCTATCAGACAGAGCCTCAGTATAACTGTGAAAATCACATACCTAAACTTTACACACAAAACATCATCTGTCATCTTCAATGTTCTCACGTGACAAATACTCAGCCTTTTACTGAACAAAATTTTAAAAAAACCATTAACAAACAAAATTTAAATGCAGCTCTTGTAGACAAGTATTTTTTTCAAATTTATTGATTGTTGTAGTACAGAATCTCTAAACACCTTGTCTTGGAATAAGTTTCATCTGTAATCAGATCAAATTCCCAAAATTTCACATCTTTATCACCACTTCCCGAGGCAAACAGAGTCTAAAAATCAATCCATGAATGTTATGTCTTTTCCGTTTCCTTCATCCAAACTAAACGACATTGTTTTCCTAAGAGATTCAGTAAGAACCATCCCTTATCACTCCAGTGTCATCACAGGAGGAAAGTCGAGAGATAACCTGTAGTATTCGTAAAGACAAACTGGAAGCACTCTTCTCACATGTGATATTGAAGGGAAATTATTGTCATATTACACGTCTGTAGCCCAGATGGAAGACACTGATGGTAACAGAGATGGAAGACACTGATGCCGATGGTAACAGAGATGGAAGACACTGATGCCGATGGTAATAGAGATGGAAGACACTGATGCCGATGGTAACAGAGATAGAAGACACTGATGCCGATGGTAATAGAGATGGAAGACACTGATGCCGATGGTAATAGAGATGGAAGACACTGATGCCGATGGTAACAGAGATAGAAGACACTGATGCCGATGGTAACAGAGATAGAAGACACTGATGCCGATGGTAACAAAGATAGAAGACACTGATGCCGATGGTAACAGAGATAGAAGACACTGATGCCGATGGTAATAGAGATAGAAGACACTGATGCCGATGGTAACAGAGATAGAAGACACTGATGCCGATGGTAACAGAGATAGAAGACACTGATGCCGATGGTAACAGAGATAGAAGACACTGATGCCGATGGTAACAGAGATAGAAGACACTGATGCCGATGGTAACAGAGATAGAAGACACTGATGCCGATGGTAACAGAGATAGAAGACACTGATGCCGATGGTAACAGAGATAGAAGACACTGATGCCGATGGTAACAGAGATAGAAGACACTGATGCCGATGGTAATAGAGATAGAAGACACTGATGCCGATGGTAACAGAGATAGAAGACACTGATGCCGATGGTAATAGAGATGGAAGACACTGATGCCGATGGTAACAGAGATGGAAGACACTGATGCCGATGGTAACAGAGATAGAAGACATTGATGCCGATGGTAACAGAGATGGAAGAACAGAGATGGAAGACACTGATGCCGATGGTAACAGAGATGGAAGACACTGATGGTAACAGAGATGGAAGACACTGATGGTAACAGAGATGGAAGACACTGATGGTAACAGAGATGGAAGACACTGATGCCGATGGTAACAGAGATAGAAGACACTGATGGTAACAGAGATGGAAGACACTGATGGTAACAGAGATGGAAGACACTGATGCCGATGGTAACAGAGATGGAAGACACTGATGGTAACAGAGATGGAAGACACTGATGGTAACAGAGATGGAAGACACTGATAGTAACAGAGATGGAAGACACTGATGGTAACAGAGATGGAAGACACTGATGGTAACAGAGATGGAAGACACTGATGCCGATGGTAATAGAGATGGAAGACACTGATGCCGATGGTAACAGAGATGGAAGACACTGATGGTAACAGAGATGGAAGACACTGATGGTAACAGAGATGGAAGACACTGATGGTAACAGAGATGGAAGACACTGATGGTAACAGAGATGGAAGACACTGATGGTAACAGAGATGGAAGACACTGATGGTAACAGAGATGGAAGACACTGATGGTAACAGAGATGGAAGACACTGATGGTAACAGAGATGGAAGACACTGATGGTAACAGAGATGGAAAACACTGATGGTAACAGAGATGGAAGACACTGATGGTAACAGAGATGGAAAACACTGATGGTAACAGAGATGGAAGACACTGATGGTAACAGAGATGGAAGACACTGATGGTAACAGAGATGGAAAACACTGATGGTAACAGAGATGGAAGACACTGATGGTAACAGAGATGGAAGACACTGATGGTAACAGAGATGGAAGACACGGATGGTAACAGAGATGGAAGACACTGATGGTAACAGAGATGGAAGACACGGATGGTAACAGAGATGGAAGACACTGATGGTAACAGAGATGGAAGACACTGATGGTAACAGAGATGGAAGACACTGATGGTAACAGAGATGGAAGACACTGATGGTAACAGAGATGGAAGACACTGATGGTAACAGAGATGGAAGACACTGATGGTAACAGAGATGGAAGACACTGATGGTAACAGAGATGGAAGACACTGATGGTAACAGAGATGGAAGACACTGATGGTAACAGAGATGGAAGACACTGATGGTAACAGAGATGGAAAACACTGATGGTAACAGAGATGGAAGACACTGATGCCGATGGTAACAGAGATAGAAGACACTGCATGGCAAACCACTACATCATCTGCCGTCCTACTCCTCCTGTCTGGGTTGCTAGAATTAATTTTTTAACACGACAGTTATCTTGCCATACCATCGCCTGCAAAGTAGGCTATGTGTAACTCAGGGCTCGAATTTTATCGCGGCAATCGCGGCAATTGCCGTAGAGGGAGAGCAAAATGCCGTGGATCATTGCGGCAACGACGTATATGTGCAATTTTTATACTATTCACTGTGCATTACTATTTTGATACTTGAATTCAGATGTTGATCAAATCATGCGTAAATCACTATTTTAGTCTCAGTTTTCTTTTAAAAAAGAACAACTCAAGAAATACGTAGACATGTTTCTAGCTTGTCATAAATCCAAAGTAACAATAAAATTAAAGTTTTATTAACAGTAATTTGAAAAATGCCGTGGAAACTGTGAGGATTGCCGTAGACAGCTGTTACGTTCTACGGCAATTTTTAACGCCATTGCCGTCGATTGATTTCAGGGAAATTCGAGGCCTGGTGTAACCAACAGCCCTAATGGTGCATTACTGTAAATTTGACCAACCTTATCTGGGGCTAAAGCCAGAGACCAAACTGCTCCTTCATGAGCGTCTAAACTTTCCAGGAGAGCACCAGACGATATGTCGAATATTTGTAGCTTTCCTGCCTAGAAAAACAAAGTAAATTGGCGGACGGCAGACAAACTATAGTGTCAAAGAACATTCATGTTTGGTTGGACAAACATTACGATGCAAGATGCAAGCTGGCTAAAAGACAACTGCGGATTAAAGGCCCGTTTACACTTGCGATTTTAGATGCGATTTTCTTCTCCTGATGTATGTGAACGAGTGGATGAGTTAGGAATGTTTAGATGAGGGTACATATACTCACAGCATTCATTAGCATTCATAACTTTTTTACTCGTTCACATCGATCAGAAGAGAAAAATCGTACTAGAAATCGCAAACCTGAAAACTGGTTAAAACTCATTCTCGTCCCCAGGGCCACGCTCGTTGCTCCACTGAGCGAGAGCAACGAGCGTGGCCCTGGGGACGAGGATGGTTAAAACTCTAACTCTTCCAAAGTTTCAGCATTGGTGCACTGCAATCACTATGTATATAATTGCGAGAATCGCGAATACGTGTATTTAAGGGAAACCGTTTATTCATTCACCTTTGTTCCGACTACAACATGTCTATCTCCGGGAACAAAAAATGACGAAAGACAATAACCAGATGACATGGTTCGTATGCACTTTTGAGTTGATCTAGTCGAAAAGAAAATGTAGTGGTGCACTCATATTTTAACTTTCACTGAACGTTCTCGTGTTTTTATATTGAGAGGAATCAAGCAGTTACCTATTCCATACTTTGACACTTTCAGTTGCACCTGACAAGATACACGAGGCATCGGAATTGAAAGACAACGTTCTAAAATATGAATACGCAATAAATGTATTTGCTTAGGAAAAATCATTGCAAAATCTTTCCATATAGTGGTACCACTATACCATACCATATTATATCATACGATGCTATCCATACCATAACATAGTCCACACTCCATACCACATGTCCACACCCCATAGGGCCCATACCATACCATACAACACCATACCATACCATACCATACCATAACTATACCATAACCATACCATACCATAACCATACCAGACAACACCATACTGCACCATATCATACGATAATCATACCATTCCTCACCATACCATACCATACAACACCATACCATACAACACCATGCCATACAACACCATACCATACCATACCATGCCATGCCATACAATGCCATACCATACAACACCATATACAACACCATGCCATACAACACCATGCCATACAACACCATACCATACCATACCATACCATACCATACAACACCATATACAACACCATGCCATACAACACCATGCCATACAACACCATACCATATCATACCATACCATACAACAACATACCATACAACACCATATACAACACCATGCCATACCATAGAACTACACCATAATAAACTCTACCATGACTAGGAAACCAGTACAGATGAGACGTACCTCACATCACTTCTGTGCCCTGGTGTTTTAATAGACACTACATTGCTTTCTTCCTGGCTCCCCAATTCTGTCACATGATGTAATTCTATGCTGTTGTTCTGCAGTAACAACAATATCTAAAAATAACCATGACTTGCTTCAATACATTTTCCAACATGTTACAACTTTCTAGAACTTCTGCGTACAACGTGCATTCCATCGAACACGATGCCCAAAAAATCTCGACATCTCCCCATATACCTTGCACTGACATCACTCCGTTATATATTGGTCAGAGCGTTGAAACAAATGATTCCTGCCTGAGAGAACCTACAGTTGCATTTTTCGTAACTGCACCTGGTTATGTCTAAAAAAACCCATCTAATATTGTTTGTTTATCCAATACCTTCAATTCATCGTTTTCATGGAGAAAAAAATCGAACGACCTGCAGAAAATAAATAGTAGTTTTGGAAAAATTTAAGTTTCACGTCTTGACTACTTTTCTGAAGATACTGTAGGCAATACCATCTGACCACACAATTTCCTCTACAACAGTTGGCAAAACCTGAAATCAGCCCGACAAACCCCGACGTATCAACAATCACGAGGAATACAGTGCTTCATGCACTACTAAATGGATTACCTTATTTTAAACGTTCCTTTAAGATCAGGTAATTTTACGAACTCGTCTTCTACCATGGCTGAAACATCACATGAAACCTACCAAGGACATAGATAGTGTAGATTGGGAGCCTGTGTGGCATACTCTATAAATATAGATATTTCATTGAAGTAAACTTACCAATGGTTCAGCTCCTTCTTCTGTCTGCAATCTAAATTTTGTTGGAAAGATAATTTATTAATGGCAGTTTAATGAATGTTCTTGATAACTCATGTAAACATATGCATTTAATCATTGCTTTTTTGAGGCCAACACGCTTTCTGGGGTCCATGAAATGCACGGCCATTAAACGTGGGGACCCGAGGCATATGCTGCTTTTGCCATTGCATGAGAATGCAGTACTGACCTTTGTTTTTTTAACAACTTTTTCCGTCTCTTTGACACTCGTTTTTTAATTTCATCTTCCGAAGCAACACGGAATAACTCTAATATTAAATTAGCACCCTGCAATTGGATATAATATGAAAATTCTGCAACGTTTTAAGTCTATAATATGAACTAAAATTCTTCAAAGTTTTATGTTAACAACTCACATGGCAGCCAATGTACTGTCCTGTTGGATCTGAGTGTAGTGAAACAACACGATCTGTTGAAGTTCTCATTATAGATCCAAGGAGATTACATGAAAGGCATTCCTTTAAATGATTGAAAAATAGAATGATGCTCAGGGATGGAAAAAATAGGCGAGCTCACAGGAAATGTTAAACAGCTGCAGGAAATTCGTTTGAATGAAGATTTGCTATTGAAAATTTGAAGGAAACCTTAACACCCATGTCCCACTATGGGCGCAACAACATATGGTTGACAGACATTATTCCTTGAATGTAAAACCACGATCAGCTAGAACATTATATGTTTATGCACATGCAGATTTAGCACAAAAATACTCGATTGGTCTGCAGGAAATTTTTGTTTCCAGGTTGTGCTCACAGGAAGAAAATTCTTTTTTCCTGCCCTGATGAAGCTTAACGAACTGTCACATGATCACATTTGCCTTTTGAATCATTCACCTCTGCTTCTTCAGAATGCTCAGATTGTGTTGTTAATTTTCGTTTCTTCTCCTCACTGTCTGACTTGCTTTTATCTTTATATTTGATTTCCCATATCCTCAGTTCACTATCACCACAACCAGTTATAAGTCTTGTCTCGCTCTTTATTATCGTAAAACCCCAAACCTAAAATGAAGTGCATTTTCTCTATCAATAATTGTTCATTTTTTATTTTAATCAGATAACACAATTATTATCATTGTTTATTATTATTATTTATTATTACTATTTGTTATTAGTATTTATTATAATTATATGATTACTTATTATTAATTAAGATTAACTACTAATTAATTAATTAATTATTAGTTAATCATAATTAATAATACTTTTAACTTATCATTAATTAATTAATTAATTAATTAAATTATTAATTAATTACTAATTACTAATTCTTATTAATTATCAATAATTATTATTAAAGCAAGACAAAATGATATTAGGTATTACCTCACTTCTATGACCAACTAGCGTCAGAAAACAATGTTGAGAATCAAGATCCCAAAATTTGATGAACGTGTCTTTGGAGCTAAAAACAAAGATATTAACATGATCATGCTATAAATTTTCTTTGTTTATTCTCTATCAAAAATCTGCCCTTGCCAGTTTACAAAGTTGTACAGAAAAAATAGATTACCTTGTTACTAAAACATTGACAGTTTCCAAAAATTGACAACATGTCACCACTCCCTTGTGTCCTTTCAACCTAAGATATTGACATGATATTGAGAGATTGATCCAAACTACGCATGGATCATTTTTCTTTTCTGTGTTGGTATTGTGTACTCAGGTGAATATGATGTTTGTGATGTTACTCTGAGTGTATATCCACACCGGGCGAGCAAAGTTTTCCCGATTTTCCCGACCATTATACTAAAACTGATATTAAATCTGATCTATAATATCCTAATCATAAACCTAAAATTCTGAACCCATATCAGTAATTCCATGATCAGCTAATTAGATCTAAATCCTAAACCAAATTCTTACTCAAACCTGATCCCAATCGTAATTTTAATTTTACTCTTTACCTGAACATTCCTGATTCATTTATCACATCCCAAACGATAACATCAGTGTCCTTCAAGCAAAAATAAAATTGGGGTGGGGAAACTTTCTGAGGGGGTGCAAAATAATTGGGGGGGATGCACATGGGCAATTTCACGTTGCGGACATTACATTCACAGGAAAACAATTAATACAAAACATGCTCTGTTTCCTGTTTGCAACAGTTTCAGATCTGGGAACTTTGTCATAGAAAACCTTAAGGGGACCTCTAATATTTCATAAAATAAAACAAAATTCCCTCGTAATCACTTCTTGTAATAAAAAGTCAAAGTACTGTTGCGGACATTACAGCAAAATCAACCACACATTAAAGTGATGTTCTTAAAATGTAATTTCCTGTGAATTTTGAAAGGTATCACAGGAACTAAAACACTGCCTGCTCTCAGTGATACTTGGGGTTAAAAAATATGAAAACGAGATGTTCTACAATGCCCTTGCGCAGCTTCTATAGTGCAAAGTTTGTGTTGCGGACATTACACTGAAACTGTTGCGGACATTACATTTTTGATTTCATATTAAAAATAATAGGAAATCAAAACTGGGTGACTGATTATGCACTTCAATGTTTCTAGTCTACATAACAGGCATTCTAGCTTAATTACGCCCGGGCGTACCAGGCGGGGGGGGGCTAGAGGGCGGCAGCCCCCCCCCAGTTTGTTGGGCTATCAAAGCCAGTCGGGCAATATTCGCTTATTATAAAAATAAATGGGACAAATTCTGTCAATTTTGTGGGGAATTCTGTCGGTTTTGTGGGAAATATGCTATCTCCGGAAAAAAAAAATTTCACAACGCGGGCACAATCCGAAAAAGTAGGGCAAATTTCTTTCCTTCCCCCTAATTTTTTCCTTCCCATACGCCCATGTGTATACCAACATAAATCCTGGGATGAAATCATGGTCACATATATTACAGTATATAATCTTCTGTTGACAATAATATCTTTCAAAAGTGCAATATTTGTTGCGCATAGACTCAGGCAATGACTCGGGTTGTGCAGCAAATAAAGTGTCATGTTTGTAGACCATTCTATTTGACAGTTTTGCATTTACTACATTTGGTGGGGATAATTAACACCCCTGACTTTAGTGGAAGATGATCGAAACAAACATGAACTAAAACATGATTTTGCACTTAAGGTGGCTCGATACAGTTTTCAAAAATTCAGGCGTTTAACACTTTGACATGTTCAAACTACGCATTTTTAGGATTTATTCAACAGATATTGGGTTTTTTATATACTGTGATAACTCTACTTTCAAGTTATATTAATTTTAGTAACAGATAGTTCGTTGCTATGACGACATACGTGTACGAAATTTACTCCAAAATGGCCTATCTTCTCGTATAGTTGGAAAGAAAGCATGGTGACCCCCAATTTTTTTTCGTGCATTATTTTACTTCGACGAAAAGCTAACAATTAGCAAAATATAAAAAAATTCTGTAATGCCATTTTTTTGGAAAATGCGAAAATGTCATATTCTTCGGTAAAATTTTTTTGGCATTACAGAATTTTTTTATTTTTGGTATAATGAAAGTTTTTAGCGGTGCAATACAGCATGCAAAATTTGAACATAGGTCACCAGACAAAATAAAGAGATATAACGCATTGTTTTTCTAAAATGGAAAATTCTAATGACGTCAGCAATTGACATAAAACGCTATAGAACACGCGCAATGGCGCGATATGGCGCGAGCTGACTGCTCACGTCAGGTTATTTTGGAAGTTCTTTGATTTTGTTAATCAGTTTCCGCGGCCTGCGCGTAAAAATGGTCACGCGATTCTTGAGCAGGGTATTTGTGATTACTATATCGAGCCACCTTAACAACATATGCCTTACCAAACTGATGGTACAATGGCAGAATATGGTAGTGGCATTATATGTAACTTGGAAACTTTCCATGATGAATTGTGTCACTGTGATTGACTGATTGTGTATACACAACGGAGTGATTATAGCTAAAAGTAGGGTCCCATAGTCCTTTTAATGTTCTATTTTTAAGTCATCAAGCTTAAAATAACTATAGAATAACGTCTTGCTTGAATTGAATTCAAGCAAGACGATTATATAAGCATCTAATTCTCCAATTTCAAAAATGTAATGTCCGCAACGTAATGTCCGCAACACATTATTCAAGACATGTTAATACTTTTTATTGTCTTTTTTCAGTCTAAAATAATGTTAATACCATTTTAAAAAAGCAGCACAAATATAATGTCAAAAGAGCTAGACGTTTGGCTGAAAAATAAATTGAATTGTTTTTTTGTTGCGGACATTACATTTCTCTTACCCAAACTTTGATGCACCATAAATCACAGCAACACTGGATATTATCTGATCTAACATTGTCATCATGATATTTGAACCTTAGACTGTGTTTGTTAAGAAATATAACTTATTTCAAAGTTAAAGTGACTGAGATATAATTATTTTAAATGAACACACTTTATCCACAGAACAATAGCAACAAACAAGTGCAGGTTCAATGGCTTGCCTCAGAGTGGGCATGCGGCAAAATTCAAAAATCGTTTTGATTTATGATAATCCAATGTGTTAACTATGGAAACATGTGGTTAGCACCACATAATGTCGCATTTTGCAATTTTGCCATTTTCAATGTCTCATGTGAAATTGACCACATACCTTTGAACCAGAGACCAATCTGACTCCAGTTGCATCATACTGAAGTGAGGTAACTGCTGACTTGTGACCACTAAAATAATTTTGCAGATTCTTAAGTATCAGACTACAAATCTGACAAGTGTGTGGCTTGCATAAAATGCAGAGAACAAAGGTACTAAATTATGTACCAAGGGAGGGGTGGAAAAAATAGGCGAGCACGGGAACACTGCTCGCAGGAAATGTTAAACAACTGCAGGAAATTCCTTTGAATGAAGAGTTGCTATTGAAAATTTGAAGGAAACCTTAAGGTTACAGGACACCCTTTTTGGTGTTTTGCAGAAAATCACTACTGCGCGCTCAATATCAGTCCGATTTTCATCAAATTTTCACCAAATGTTCTCCAGTGCATGCAAAATATGGTAAAGTTGTGAAATTAACAAGCAATAAAATAATGTTACAAGAATTATTCAGGAAAATCTTAAATCGCGGTACCTTTACGCTTTTGAGTTGTGCTCCTGCTGGTTTTAAGTTATATTTATGAAAATATCATTTTATACAGTAAAATAGTTGTTCTAAAAAATTGTGTTCGGAAATTTTTGTTTATTTCGTCATTCCGCTGATATGGCAATTTCTTTGACGACTGCAATATATTTCTGAATTGTTTGAGTGAATTGCTCTTTATTTTTAAAATATCCAAAATTAAAAAAAAGCCGAACACAATTTTGAAACTGATGTATCTAGCTATGTCCTGTGAAAATTTGAGAAAAATTGGTTAAAACCCGCAGGAGCATAACTCGTTTGAAAATCAGTAATTACCGTAAAATTTTTCGTGAGAAAATTGAATTTGAATATTACATTTTCAATGTTTTTCTTATTGCAGCGAAATGTATTTTATTAAACAACTCTGCGAGTTTTCAACATTTTTCGTTCAAACTTGGTCAGATAGTAGAACTAGCCTAATGCTTTCATTGAAACCAATAAAAAAATTTTAGGCAAAATCAACACTTAAAGGTATTCTGTAACCTTAACACCCATGTCCCACTATTGCAACAACATATGGTTGACAGACATTATTCCTTGGATTTAAAACCATGATCAGCTAGAACACTATATGTTTATGCACATGTAGATTTAGCACAAAAATACTCTGTTAGCTTGCAGGAAATTTTTGTCTCCAGGTTGTGCTCCCAGGAAGAAAATTCTTTTTTCCTGCCCTGTACCAAGGGATGTTCAACAAATCAAATCTTCCACACGATATACCATCCTAAGCATTAACCTGTGCCTACCTAAATGTCACTTGTGATGAACCATCTTTAAGACCCCATATCCGAATAACGCCATCAGCATATCTAGAAAGCAATTCATGTGAACATATTTATAAGTGCATATAATGTTAGTTGTTGTCATTAATCATGAAGTTGCATTGCACCCTAATGCACCTTATTTTATTATTTCACTCTGTCTAATACCAGATGATTTTACTTGTCAGAGGGAGTCAGCACTCAATGGGTTAAATCTAGCATGCATTCAAGTTGATTCAACCTCCTGGATTGCTCATCCTGACCAAAACTCAAATGCCAGCCAGCAACCCAAACCTTCCAAATAAATTGGTATTAAATTGTTTCATTGAACTACAATCGTGCAATGAAGATCTCAAGTGTGCAGTTTTGAATGTTTTTAAAAATTTTGTATATTTATTATTACCTAGAAATGGTTTTATGATATTAACCATTTCAAATGTTTCGTGAAACTTACCCCACTGCAAGATGCTCAGAGTCTGGACTTTGACAAAGACAAGTCACCTCACTCTTGTTTCCTTTTAAAACTTGCACCTTAAAATTTTTTTTTTAATTTTATAAACTTTGTCACAATATAAATTACATATCTAAATTAAGATATACTAAACTCTCTGACACGTTAATATACAGCTATTTCAATTAAAATTAATTCGCTAATAAATAAATGAAGTTATTAGTGATTCCCAGCAGCCTTTCGCGCTCGTATTTGACTTTTCTGCTTTGCTCGGGGGACAACCTTAATTGAAATAGCTGTATACAACAATGGTTAATAAATCACTGGGTACTAAGACATGGTTCCTGTTAATTATTAACCAATCAATTTCCTCTTTCAAGTGGTGCATCAGGACGTATTGCATCTTAACGAGTTATGCCAACTGAGCTCATATGGTGGCATAACTCCTTTGGGTGCCCACTTCCCCCAACCTACCTGGAGGGAGGGGGGCAGGAGGTCAATTAGGGTTTAATACAAGGAAAACAAATTATGCATAGCCCCCTTTCCTGGGAAGAGCCAGGACAAGTGTTTCCTATTCAGTTCAAGACTTGGGCTTTTATGACACAAAGTACTCTACCAAGTCCATAAATCCATATATGTTAATAATTTTATAGTGAACTATACACAAGTGAAATTTTCTACAGACTACAGCACAGTTTATTAAAATTTTAATAGCACAAAGCATTCCAGAAATCATACACTGCTCATAAAATCTTGTACTCTCCAAACACACGTACCCTCTCTCCTATTCTCATATCCCAAATATAAACATTCTCAAGCGCTGGGACCACTGCATAGCACGTTTCTCGTCGATGCTTTTCACCATTTTTAACTAAACATACGTTTGCTCTTGCACTGCCAACCACTCCAAAGTTGCCAGCATCGACATAACGAAGATAGGACTTAGTTAACACCATTTCAAATATATAAACTAGAAACTACAAGAGCAAATGAACAGAAAATATTGACCATATTGGCATTAAAATCTTAAAATTCGCCGCCATATTGATCACCCGATTCGCACGTGAACATTCCGACTGCGAGCAGATCGCTCAGAAGGTGAACAAAGGTTTACAATAAAACGGTGTTTTATTGTTGTTAAAGTTACAAACTGGCATTTCCACAGACAGCCGTGCACAAAGTTGCGTCACAGTCCTACCCCAAAAAAGAAATAAAACAGTTTCGAACCTACGACCTTTGGAATACTAGTTCAATGCTCTGCCAACTGATCAGCTACGCGGTCTTTAATATTTCAGATCAGTGGGCCAAGTAGGTTCGAGTAAGTGACCATGGCCGGGCATATTTTTCAAGCTCGCCCAGTGTGGATATACACCATAGATAGATATCTATGATATACACTCAGAGTAACATCACAAACGTCATGAGTACACAATACCAACACAGAAAAAAAAACCATTTCATTGTAGAAATATTTTCTTCATGTTACCACAATATACAAGTGACTAAATTATTTACAGTTCTTTTCGTGTAAGATATATTACTCTCATAACCGTGAAGTCAATGTATACCAGCATGTTTTCACAAAAATTATAACTTCTGGACACAACTTAAGCTTAGAAGATTGCCTCGATTTATCCTGCTGCAATCTTAAGGCCTGTTTTATGCGTCGAATTTCGGTCGCGTCGAATGCATTTCAAACAATAAATAATGAAGCTTAAATGAGGTTTATCATCTCATTATCCATTAATTGCATTCGACGCGACCAAAATTCTAGGTATAAAACAGGCCTTAGACATAGCTAGTTGACGATACACAGCTCACGATAAATAGTAATAAATTCCCATTCCATGTTGAGTCATGGCAAATTAGCAAAACTTGTTTGGTGCATGGTTACTTACACCACACTCGGGAGAGGGGCATGAAATTTGATTGTCAATGATGTACAATTAACTTTGTCGAAGAGTGTAGCAGGATTAGGCAAAATTTTCATTATTTTAAAACAGTGCTTTTGAAACGTTTCTTTTTCACTTCAATCTTGTAATAAACGAAAATTCGAAACATGAATAGTCAGCTGGTACACATTAACAACTAACCTTGCATATCATTATGCCCAACAAGCAATGAAATTTACTTGTTTTTATCCCAATGTTTAATATCGCCCTTCAAAACTCAGCGAAGACTAGTTTACACTATCAAAGTTTTTGCATGGTAAAAGTAAGATTTGATCAATGTGTCAGAGGTGCACACGACTTGTTAACAGGTGTAAACGCTTATTAATTTAAACAGTACATAACTGTAATAACAAAAACTTAGATAATGTAATCCAGCTCCTTTAATTTCATCATTCGTCAGTAACCAAATTTAACTGGGAATGAAAGTCACTAACCCCTGTAGAACCTCATTAAAAGAGGTACACGTATTATGTACTAAAATGCATTCTGCTAAAATGTCTAAAAATATCGTATAGATATAAACCTTGGCAAAAATATCATGTCTCTAAAATTTGCCTCATTAAATTAGAAATATAAAAATTTCTTGCGTTCTATGCAAACCGATGGTATACACACCATCAATCAATATAATCTATATATCAACATTATCGTCTAGATATCATCAATATAATCAAGATATCCTCGAATTTTTTGCGTGTGTGTTCGGTATGGTGGCTTCCTGCAGCATTCCTATGTGTGTGCCTCTGTAGCACTGTTTAACCTACAGACCGAATATCCCAAAAGCGAAGAACTCTGAAAATTGTATCCCACAGTTTTACAGTAAACATTCTTGTAAAATAATTATTTTCATGAGGTTTCCAACAAGTTCACTATGGGCCAGTACTTTGGGCAAACTTTGCCATTCGGAAAACTGCAGGGAGCCGCCTTAAATTCCTTTCAATTTGATATTATTTGTTCAAAAACATACATGTCTCATAAGGGATCGCCATTGACCCACCTCTGTTCCCATTTAGATGTCGTATATCTTTGAGGCGGTGTGTTTTCATTGAATACTTTCATTTTGTCCTTAAAAGGTAGTTTGGCGTTGTCAGGGCTCGGGGACTTACTGAAGTCGGTTGAAACGCTACCGCGGGGTTTGGGGACAGGATAGTTGTTATTATGTTGTTGACGTCTAGGACCAGGGTAAGTTGCATAGCCATCATCACTGAGTTGAACCCGCGCACGGGCAATATGTTCATTGTCTCTAGTGTATGGCGGGTTAGCACCAACTTGATATTCTGGGGGGTTACCACCTCCGTTACTAATTAAGTTTTGGGGTTTGGGAGGGGGTGGTGGCCTTTGGTAGTAGTCGACTTGATCTTGTGGAGGAGGGGGTAAGGGCTCGTCATCGGCGGGGGGTGGAGGACTCGGGAATTCGTCATCATCGCTATCTTCTACCTTGCCATCATGAACAAATTTGACCGAGTGTCCTTGTTTTGTTAACTCTGCATCAGGCGACGGTTGAATGATCTCGGTACGAACACTCGCGAACTTTACTCGTCGGGTTCGACCGTTCGACGTGTCACGAAGTTCTTCGTCGTCTTCGGGACGTTCGATGATTCGATTTCGAAGTTGATTCGCTCTCGCTTCTCGGAGTCGGTCGTCTTCCTCGCGCTGACGTCGTAGCTCCTCGTCTTTCTCCCAGTCCCCTTGATTTGGATGTACTGGCTCGGCCACTGCTCCAGCGGGTTGCTGTCTCAAGGATTCATTTTGTTGAAAATCGCGAACCAACTGATCGTCCTGTTCTCGCCGCCATTGTTGTTCCTTACGATTTCTGTCCTCTTCCTCTCGCTGTCTATCCACACGTACACGTGGTCTGTCTTCCGTATCTATCCCACGTGATTCCCAGTTATCCTGTTGTACAGGTACCCGGATAACTCGCACTCCGTCCACCTCGCTCTTTCCGGCAGAAGCTTCCTGTGCAAGACGATGTTGAAACTGACGTTCGACTTCGGCTGGGTCCATTTCAAACGAATCTTCTCTAGAATTTTGTAATGTCGGCCTTTTCCCAGGACTGTAATTCCCACGATTATCATCACTAGGCATAGGAGGTCGTCTTGCTAATGGAGGAGTACTTCTGTTCTCGTCGGCTGACGCTGGTCCTCTTTTGTTGTAGTCCATGGGACGGTTTGGTCGTATCTCTTCTCTTCTACTTTCGTTAACTAGACCGCCAAAGTTCCCACGGGTATCTTCATTCGGTAATGGCGGTCGTCTCATGTCGATTGGAGGATCACTTCTGTTTTCATTTGCAGGTGTTGGAGCTCTCACTGGACGGCTTGATCGCATATCTTCATTTCTAACCATCTCGTTCTTCTCATTCTGATGTCCTTTATCGTTCACATAATGTACCGTGCTTCCCCCAGATGGCTTCATCATCCTCTGTGGACGTTCTTCTCGCTCTTTTCTCAAGCGTTCTATCAGTTCTTGTTCCATTCTCTCAGATTCTGCGCGTTCTTCCTGAATTTGTCGTTGTAATTCCTTCAACCGGTTTTCTTTCTCACGACGTTTTTGTTCCAACATCATTTCCAATTCTCGTTCACGACGGGACATTTCATCCAAGCCTGCATTTTCTTGCTGCATTCGTTTCGCATGTTCTTCCTTCTCCCGTTGTTCTCTTTCCAATCTATCTTGTTGCTGTTTCTTCCTTTCTTCTTGCCTTCTACGTTCTGATTCTTCTCTCTCACTTTTCTCTCGTTCCCAGTCCTCTCTTCGTTTGCGGTCTGCTTCTTCTCTTTCTCTTCTCTGCCTCTCTTGTTCTTCTCGTTCTCTCCTCTGCCGTTCCTGTTCAATCCTCTGTCGTTCCTGTTGTTCTCGCTCTATCCTCTCGCGTTCCTGTCTCTCCCTTTCAATCTTCTGTCGCTCCTGTTGTTCTCTTTCAATCCTCAGTCGCTCTTGTTGTTCCCTTTCAACCCTCTGTCGTTCTTGCTGTTCTCTTTCCATTCTCTCGCGTTCCTGACGAGCTTGTTCTTCTCTTTTCATTCTTTCTAAACGTTCAGCTTCTTCTCTATCTTCCTTAACTTTCTTCATTCGTTCTTGTTCCCTCGCAATCCTTTCTCTTTCGAAATTTTCTTTCTCCTGCTCTTCCAATTTACGTTGTTGCATTTCCTGTTGCCGTCTTTGAATTTCTTGCGGGTTCGCATAAGGAAGAGGCTTGACACCAATCGGCGGTTTTCGACCAGGAGGAGGTTCCTCTAATGTATACTCCACAACCGTCTTCGTCTGCACTGGAGGCTGAAAAACAAAACAAACAACAATTTAGTCCAAATATGCCGGCGAGAAAGCAACGTTGCCTTTCCTATATTAGGGAGACCAAGGGAGACCAGTTCTGAACTGATGAAGCTATCTAGTATTATAGTACCTAGTATAAAAAATAGTTTGGTTTACGATAACTCCAGTAGTAACACTGGATCAAAAAGAAATTATCTTTACTGGAGCTCTATGTGGAACAGATTACACAGAATTGGCCCGATTTATACACCAGAAATGAGCGATCCGACTGGGCAAGCTTTGATAAAGAAATTATAGTTTCGTCTGATAATTCGCATGTTCACAAACGCATCATGTTAAGACTAGCTATCCACGTCTTAGCGTACACCAACGGTCTACACAGACGAGTTGGCGTGTTTTAAATCAGACAAGAAATGTTCCCAGAAGCATTGCCAGTCTAATAGTCCATACTATGCTATTCTAGCCAGTTTGCTTTGAGTTTGCACGAATGAGACGGGTGATCATTCTCTCGCATAAATCGCCAATCACTATATGAAGTTGACTAAATATACTTTAATATTATCATGCAGTAAATAGTGGTCAACCAGCAGTGTAATCTCACCTGTTCTGGGGCTTCATACTGACTTCGGTCATACGGACTTCGTCTCCTGTGTGGTTCAGGTTTAACCTGTTTCGGTTCCGGTTTTACTAGCTTCTGGTCAACCTCGGATTGTACGCTTGTGTTGAGTGGGGGAGACCGCTGAGGAGAGTCTTGCGGAGGTCGATATCTTGGAGGCGCTCGAGGAGTTTCTTTCTTCTGAGGAAGTGGCGAGAGATTCTTATTCTCTGCTGTCCTATTTTGCCCATCCACTAAAAGAGCAAGAATGTTATGGTATTGATTACACATTGCTAGGTTAGCGCCATGAGTTTCATCCACAGCTGGATTTTGCTGCAAATGGTGGGGGAGGTGGACTTTAGGGGAGGTGCAGCGATCCAGGTCACGCCCCCCCCCCCATAAAATGCCAGGGCTTAGAATGTACCCCCCCCCCCTCGCTCCTGAAGTCAACTACGTGACATATGCATGCAGTACTGATGAATTATGCCTGTACGACTCATCCAATTTTGTCCTTCATTACATTTGATTTTTTCCTAACACCACTGAGGGTTACATCAGTAGATCTCTGGACAGACAAGGGATGATCTTACTAGACCAGAAGGAAGGGCAATTTAGAACTGATATAGCAGGATATATAACGTTTAGTTAGATATGAATACAAAAGACAGAATTTCATCATTATTTAATAACAGACTTACCCTTCTGGACAGGCTGGACTGGTGCAACGCTACTCAGTAACTGAACTAAGCCATGGTTATAAACAGCTTTCTTTGCGACTGTCATATTAACCACTGAACCAGCCTTGATCAAAATCTTTACAGCACTAGAAAAGGAGAATGTATGTTACAAATTGTAATAGTCTGTAGAGAAATGTGTTTAAAAACAGTCGTTTATTGCTAGGTTACCACTGTTTCCATCCGAGTAAAAGATAAAAAATATCCATGCTCAAATAAAACTTTGATGTCATGGCTTATGAAATGCTCTTCTGCAAACATTACGAGAGAATAGACAATATTCGTCTGAACCGTTCATCTTTAAGGGCACTCAGTCGATCAGATTAAACCTGTCAAAATTTTCTTAGAAATCATTGAAGTTTTTTTTTAATCTGGGAGTGTTCATCTTCAGATGCAAAAAACGACAGCGTGCAGTTGAAGAATTATTAAACACATACTCTTCTTGTTGTATTCCAACTAATGATTCACCATTGACGTCCATTATTTGATCACCAGGACTGAGACGGCCATCCTAAAATATACACATAACACTTCGTTAAGGCTTCGGACACGTAGCTGTCTCTCGAATTCGACTCTTGCGTAATTCAGCTGAGCTCTTAGCACTCTCTCCCCACTCTCTCTAAATGAATTCATTGACAATGAAGCTTACCTGAGCTGCTGGCCCACCATCAATCACTTCCTTGACATAGATACCATAGCGTTCTTGTCCTGCACCCTGTAAGGATAATAAACTATGTTATAAACTAAAGTGGACACTTGAGATTTTACCGTTCTTACGTTATGCAAGTATCACATCTTTGATGGGTATGTACTCAGTCATTACAGAAGTTTAGGCACCTCGGTTTCGACTTACAGGTACTAGTACCGTGACTTTGATTAGCAATTTTCACGCAATGTCCATATGTTTACTCCTAATTCCTGTACACGTTCTTTAGCAGTAGACTAGTGTACATGCGTTCAACTGACCTTAGCTGCAACAATACTGACACCCATTCCTTTATTTCCTTTGTTGATGGAGATTTTAATCACCTAGATATACAAAAAAAATACATGCCTCTAAGATACAATTTTAGTGACATATAAAAATCGTTTATTGATAGTATAGGTCTTTTCCACAATGTAGTGACAACCTATTATCAAACTTACCTCTGGTGGAGGACTTTCTAAACCTGAAACAAAAAATTGTATGGTTATTTCCAAAACATTAAAGTCTTCGTAAAAACAGCGCATTAAATCAAACATGTAAAATGTAAACTTGTACGCACCTACAGGAATCTTGAAATGAACTGTCCAAAGACCAGAGGCTTTCGGCTGAATTGTTAGTCGGCACAGACCTTTAGAAAAAAGACTTAATGAATGCAACAAGGCAACTATGATGGACATACATAATTTGCTTTTTGTGCAAGAATCTCAGTCTGATACCATGCATGAAGACATCAATAGATCATTTCAGAATTATGCTCTAGTTGTCAAGAACAGTAACTCCAACATTACGATTTAACACAAAGCCTTGTTCTCCCTATTACACATTTCAATACAAAACCTTACCTGGAGTAATCAACGGATCAAGAAATTCCTTCAAGCCAGGCGGAACACCACGTATTTTCTCGGAGGAATAACCATCATCAGGCAGGAGGAATGGTAGATGAAGTTCTGGCTCTTCTTCAAGAAGTACTTTCTGACCTTCACTGCGAGCTATCTCATCAGCCGTACTCTCAGCAACACTTACAGCTTTCTCAATAAGTTCAAGTGAAATAGCAGGTTCGTCTCTTTCTGGCTGGTACAGTTCAAGCAGTTGTCGCAATTGAAGAGAGTTTAATTTGTAGCAATGTGATGAAATGGCGGTTGAGTCTTGCTTTGGGATTTGTAGTAACAATGCAGCCTAGAAAATAATCATGAAAGTCATGCAACTACAGTATATAATTACAAACTACGGAAGATTTCAACGCAATTTTCATGTTTTTATTAAGGGCAAGGTTGCTGACTTAGTAATTTATTCTGCCCAATGTGATAATGCTTGACATAATGTCTGGACTAAAACTCACAAAATCAGCATTGTATTGTTTGTTTTCACATATTTTAAACCTGGTATATCTTTACTGTGTCTCCTTTACTTTATTCCTTTACAGTGTGATGTCTATGTATTCTTGTAAATAACTTTGCAAAAATATGTGTACCAGTAATTCTTAACATTACTAAGGAAGATAAATATTATTAAACCATACCTGACTAATTCTTGCCAAGTGGCACTCAGCAGCCAATTCAAGACCTTGACTTTCTGCCCAAGCTTGAAGGCGTTCAAGTCTCTCTCGTAGCCTTGCACCCCACGATCTGGTACACAGCCTGAGTTGTGGCTCAAGGACGATACGGTTAAAAAGCCACATGTTAATGAAATGAAAGACCTGCGAGAATAACTGGATTGTGAGAGCTGGGTTCACTCGACATCTTCGTAATAATGACATTGCCGCTTTCAGTGTGTAGAGAACATCGCCCACGATAGGTCTTGACGTTTTCTTTCTCTTTCCTGGGGGGGGGAGAGAAATCTTACAGTAAAGTGAAATAAACTATTGTTTAATGTGTACTATTTAATCTGGGAAACATGTGACAAAACTAATTTTAAGGGGAAGTGTTAGCCATTATTCATTATGTCATATAAATGAGACTACTTTAGAAACATGCATGGACATTTTGGTTGTTTGCCGAACAGAAAATCACTGGTTCTCAAATAGTTCATCATCCACCCTTACCCATCCACTGATCACCACCAAGGGGCTGTCCATGTGGCCCATACTGCCTCACTTTAAAGCTTCGCTCGGTGGACTGATAACCTTCCATTGGATCAAATTTCTCATCAATACCATTCTCTCCATGTTCATCAAGATCACTTTCTTCCGAGGGATCAAGGAAGGCGGGAAGACAGCCCTGAAGTTCTGCCTTGATACATTGTACAAGCGAACGAAAAGCTTGTTGCGTTGTGTGAGCAAGGATTCTCTGGCTTTCCTCTGTCATGCCAGATAGTTCCACGTCTTGTTTGAGAAAGTGTAAAAATTCTGAAGAGTTTGCCATCCAGAATGCCAAAGGACCTGCCATGCCATTGTTTTCCTACATGTGTCGTTAAAATATTTCTAATAAACATCAGGTTCAATTCAAAACCATGACACAAATGTTATTAGTAAGTCTAATTGCATTTTCAGGTGCACAAGTGTTTAGCTTGCACATTTTTATTCTTCTTAATTGACCACTTGCATAACAGACTAAATTTTGTTCTCAACAAAAATTTCATCACAGCTTGAAAGAGCGTCACAAAATTAGTAATATTCCAAAGTTTCGTTGCGAAATGTTGTAAAATGCGGAAAATATAGCCTTGCGAAGTTTGCAATTTTCAGTCATTTTAGATTACAAACTGTCAATTTCCCGTTTGTAATCTAAAATGACTGAAAATTGCAAACTTCGCAAGGCTATATTTTCCGCATTTTACAACATTTCGCAAATATTGCTAATTTTGTGACGCTCTTTCAAGCTGTGATGAAATTTTTGTCTAGACTTGTTCAGATCAAAATTTAGTCTATTATGCAAATGGTCAATTCTTTCCAATGAGACAGCACACCACGGTTAGATCTATATCAGGGACTGGTAAATTTATTTATCGATGTATGTGTCCTCATAAACAAAAAAATACAAACCCACCTTTACAGTTTGCCACATCATACTTGCGACTTTCTGTGCTGTCATTGTTACTTTTTCTCGTCTTTTGTTTGGGGGGAAATCTGGCCGGAATTTTGGTGAAAGTCGATAACGACAGCACATGTAAAGTGTAAATGTTGGAGCCAGTTTGAAGTTCACTGCAGATCCATTAACCTCGCTCACAACCACAGCAAAGAAGGCGTCTTCGCCTGATTCACGAAACTCTAATGTTGCAGGAAGATCTCGAGCTGCATCCACAATATGTACTGCTGGCGAGCTAGGCTCCTGAAAAAAATATTTGTATTTCTCACACATTGCTAGGAGCTGCCGCATCATCAGCCACAAGCTTGACATTACATTACATACCTAACCTGTGAATTACATACCTAAGGGTCAGGGATTTATGTCAAGCTATGGTGAGCAACAATAAAAATGTGCTCATCTAACACTTGATAATTCCATCGAGCTGCCAAGAGTGTGTGAGAAAACATTTTCCATGTCTTTCATTAACTCAGCCAGCTTATTTATCGGAAAAAAATCAAAAGAATTTAATAATAGGCTTTGCCAGCTGTGGGATACAGTAGCGTAGCCAGCCCGACGATTTAGTCCCGCTATGCAAATATTTTCGTGTTCATTGACTGTGAAAACAATTCATTTCTAAAGAAATGAATAATGATAATAATTCTGAATTTGCATAGCGGGACTAAATTGTCAGGCTGGCTACGCCACTGGTGGGATAACAATATCTTTGGGTAATGCAGAACAGCACGTTGCAAGAGAGAAATTTTTAAAAAGGGGATTTTAAAAAGGAGTGGGCCACCTATAAAAAATATCCAAGAAATATATGCAGGATGGTAAGTAGGTGAGCAAAAGATTTTGGATTTGAATATCACCCACATTCTGAATTGTCAGTCCTATTTAGAATACCTTTTCTGTTGGAGAGTGCTCTTTGGCATCAAATGTTGTTTCTTTAGTGGCTGGTGGGCTATGATCACCGACTGTTGGACCAGGTCGACTACTTCTTGCATGAGGTTCGTCACGTTTTTTCCTTGGTTGTAATTGTTTACGTTTTGGCATGTTTTCTTTTTTCTTCAGATAGAAGCGAAGTTCACCAGAATTTTCAGGCCATGATGCTGCAATAGCAGCAGGACAATCGTGATCTGGTACGACCCTTTCTTTAATTCCAGATGAAGACTCTGGGTCGCTATGATTTCCAGGAGCGATTGTCACCATTGTTAAACAATATTGATCCATCTCTTCTGGAGGCACCTCATATTTTTGTAAGGCATCCTTAAGAACAGTTTCGGTTGTATCATTGCTTGCACATAATATTGTTTTATACGGATTTTCTGGTTGAAGGCTTTCCGCAAAGATTCTTAATGGTCCACCGCCACCTCCCGAAGTCTCTGGATCTTGAAGTTTTTTTAACTTATCTTCAAGCTTTTTCTTTCGCTGTATTTTCATGACAATTTCTGGATTTGATTTACTTCTTGTGAAAGAAGAAACAGGTTTGTCCTCATAAAGTGCTGCTGCTAGATTTTTAGGTTTCTCTTCCATTTGAGAAGCTTTCTTTTTATTTTTCGCACCTTTTTTCGACTGACGTACTTTTGAATTTCGCTTGTCTGGATTTCTCGCAGATTCTTCATCCTCAAAGAGTTTTTGAGTCATCTGGTCTTCTTCACTTTTGAGTAAGAAACGACCATCTCTGTCTTCACGTTGCCAATACAACTGAACATACAGAGGTCTTTGGTCCAATTCTAGTTTGTGGGCTTCTAAAAACCATTAAAATAATTTCATGTCTTAGTTAGGAATGTTCGGTACGAGAAATTTCCGGTATCGGTATACCGAAAAAATTATACCGATATTATCGGAATACCGGTTTTCCTTTGATAATTATAAAGGAAAATTCTTTAATGGAAGTTTGAAGGAAATTTTGAGTAATTCTAAAACTTAGGGAAAACGATAATTTCAAAGCTGTTTCGAACATGTTTCAAACGACATGCACATACTCAGTGTAAAATCTCACTGAAGTGGAAATTCTAAATCATTGCAGTAGAAAGTTCTTTGAATTGCCATTCAGTAATAAAATAAAGGTTATGGTTTCGCCATATAGTTGGTAAATTTAACACGGTTAGGCTTGGGCGGTTTTGCTTAAAATCAAAACCGAAAAACCGTCTGATTCTAAACCGGTAAAACCGGAAAACCGGTTTTTCCCTTTAATTTGTATTTCAACTGAATGAGGAGGAATTGTGGTATTTTTTGACATAAAATAAAAGGGTCAAGAACGCATTTGAAAACTTATACCTCTTTAGTTCTTACCGACTTTACGGAAAAAGAATATAATTTGTATCTAGTGTCATGTAATTGTGTTTAATTAGTGTCATGTTTTGAGAATTAGGATCGAGTTTCGGGTGTTGACAGTAAACAATTTCGTAATGACGGTTTTCCGGTTTTTGTAAAAGCTAAACCGAAAAAAACCGGTTTGAAAATAAAACCGGAAAAAACGAAAAACCGGTAAACCGCCCAAGCCTAAACACGGTATACCGAATGGTTGAATATCCGGTATCGATATATGGTTGAATATCCGGTATCGATATACCGATATTGATTTAATACCGATATTTTTGTATATCGGTATACCGAACAGTCCTAGTCTTAGTTTACATACTGTTAAATAAAGCGACATTTCTGGCATAAATTTTCTTGCATTTTGAATCTCTAAAAATAATAAAACGTCCCAAAAAATCTCAAGGGTTTTTTGGAATAATACACTATTAACCCATTTGTCCTTTCATAGAAAACAATCAAATTTTGTAATATAGAATTGGGAAAATTGCCAAACCAAGTATATTTAAGAATATAATGGAGGCTGAACACAGGAAGCCACATGGTGCTTGCAACCCCTGGAACCAAAAAATATTTTAGTATTACAACTCAAAACCACTTGCATCTCAAAGAGAAATATGTAAATACAACTGATGCAGCAATACTGCTATACCATAAAAGGCCATCAAGAAACCTTCGCATCTTACAGTAAAATTCACTAAAATTCCACAAAGAATCAACTTGTTACAATTAAAATGTTCTAAATTTCTCATCAGAAGCAGTATTTAGTCGGACCAAGACAATTACGAAAAAAACTTAATTACATTGCAAAATAATTACTCAAAATAGCTATTATTATTTAAAATTTTACACTAGAATATAATATTTATACTTTCATGGAATACCTAGACGTTAAATGTGTTAACTATTTATTTTTTACCAAAAGAGGGAAGGGTTTAATATCAAAATAGGATTAATCTAGAAGTTGTTTGGGTGAAAAAATGTGAAAGTTTTGACCGGAATTTTACAAATAAGTATCACATTTCAACACCTCCAGTCATTTTTGTTAATCCATATATGAAAAGTCGTCAGAAAAGTTTCTACTTTTTAAACGATATTATAAAAATAGATACAAAATTGTTTACACGTAAGCGTAAAAAGTTGATGAGATAATAGCATGCAGTTTGCTGTGTTCTCACGAGAAAATCAAGTTAAATTTGTATGTTTTTGAACAGACGAAAAAAAGTTGTTTAGTGTATAAAGAATCTAGAACGTTTTAGAAAGAAACAGGACTTTGATATTCGACTTTGAAAGCTAAACTTTTATAGCTAATTTCAAAGCGGAATGCAATGCCCTGTTGTCGTCGGTTAACCACAATTTAAAATATCAACAAATGTTATAGGGCATTAACTCAACGTTAGACAGTCTGCAAAAGTCTGGATTTGCGATGAATTATGAATGATTTCTAGAGGATTTACTGATAAATATATTGGCCCGACAACCTTGGTTGGCTTGACAAAACTCAGCCATTTAAAAAATATTGAACCTGAAATCATACAGATTTCATCATCAAATACTCAACTGGTTCAACTCGGTTTTCATAACATACCTGCCCCGGTCTCGTGAACCTCATACAGCGAGTAGTTAGGCCTTGTTAACATTCTCATATCAGGATGAAATTTCGATACTAAAACCTTCATAACTTCGTCTGTAGTATCCGAACTGCTCACTCGAAGAACCTTCGTTGAAACTTTTGTATCTTTCGCACCGGGCTCTTGAAAATAGAACCGCATATTGCCAGAAAATTCAAGATTCTAAAAAGTAGAGTTAAAAGTTGATGTAGTTTGATACATATATCATTAAATTTAACCACAGTTTAGTGTAGCAAACGAGAAAAATAAAATGTAAATAAAAGAAGACTAACCGCATCGGGTTTACTGATTGTAAACATATCCAATCGGCTAGCATTCCAATCTTCGATTAATCCCTCCAGCTCCTCTCGCTCCGAGGAATCCGCCATTGTAGCTAAAACCATCTAAAAATATTCTTTTTAGTTTAAGAATGTCTCATGGAAACTCTGTATTTAATAACCCTTGGGTTTTACTATAAAATGAAGTGAAAAATCTTTGAGACAAATAGTCACCGAAGGCTTCGCTTCCTGCTGTATGCATATGATAATTGCCCAACAAGAATGTTTACATAGCTTGCATGTGATTGGTCCACGGCCTCGGATACGCCCGTCATAGCCGAGTGACGATTGGATAACGACAAGAAACCCGATGATTACCGATGGCTTGTAACATTCTTCAAAGATTCGAAATTCCAATATCAAAGAAGATAAATGAATGATGCAACTTACGACCCACATAATACCGTGAATTTTCTTAAATTTTGAAATTTTTGCCATTCAATTATCATAGCAGCTCCATACTGTGCTTGTGCATTATTAATACTTGGTTAATATATGCAGGAAATTACCCTGAAGGGCGAAGGCTGAAGCTAAGATTTGAAAGATTCTAATTATTCTTGTGCAATAAAATTCAGTCTAAAATTTGACATGTCACTGTTCACACATATTCAATCACATTAATGCAAATACAATTGCATGTTCAAAATAGTACAAAAAAATCATGAAATACCAGACCAGAGTTTCATTCATAGTACCAACAGTTCCAATTCATCCATAATTCATTCATCACATCAACAGTTTTCGGGGGATAAGGAGGAATTTTTGAATGTGGAATTCTTTCTCGTTCTGCTGTTTGTAGAATATGGAATACAGAATGTGACATGGAATACAGAATTTTCACTTTGTATGTGTTTTTCCAACGTCAATTTTTGCCTGGTATTTTGCCAAATTTTCGGAAGGTGGGTTTAAAACCTCGCTTTCGTGATGTATTTTCCGGAAGGTGGAATTTTTAAGCTCGCATCATCCCCCAAAACAAGTTTAGTTTCTCCCACTCTTCCCATGTATTCTTCTCAGTATTTTGTCTGCCCATACATGGCATTCTTTAAGGCCTTTAATAAAACAGAAAAAGTTTGAAAACATATTTTCTCCGAGATATGTAGACTCGTGAAATATTCTCTTCACAGGATATGTATTACTGGTAATGACAATACTCACGTCTTATTGAAGACGAAAAGTTATGAAAACTCTCTTTGAACTTACATGTAAGAGTATTTCTGCCTCCCACGTAGATTACGTATATACGTAGGATTATGACATCTTGTCTAGTTGTGGCTGAATAGTTAATATTTATATATTCTCTTTTCATTTCCGGACACTTGAAAAATAGCATTGTCATTTGTCAAATACCTTCTGTCTTACAGATTGTGGTCAGTTACTGTATGATGCAAAGACAGAGTAAGAAAACGATGCAAAGTCTTCACCGATTAACTCATATTCATGTGACAGCTAGGCTTCTATTTAGCGGCCAATAAATAAAATCGAGACAGTTACTGTAATTGTTTCGCTCCTCTCAGCATCAACATGTCCAACATAGGTTGCCATTGGGAGCAGATATTGGTCAACCAACTGTTACCGGAGCAAAAAATATACTTAATTTTCTTGTTCTCATATATATATATATAAGTGTGAACGTTCAAGTTGATCACCATCTACGGTTACAATGAAAATACAAAAAGTGTCCCACTTCTGCAGTTTGTTGCAACAGTTGCGTTCTTCTGTAATACTGGTTAATTACACTAACTGTCAATTATACTGAAGCCTTTTCACATATACAGTAGCGATTCCGGAAATACAGTAGCAACTACAAAAGGAGTGCATGTGAATGTGATTTGCAATTTTCGGTTATAGATTTTCATGATTTGATTATTTGCGTTATGGAACATTCTCAAAATCCTACAAAAATCCTACAAAAGCCTACAAAATCCTGAGTTTCAATAGACTTACAGTAAATATGTTCATATTTACGACGTATTCAAAATGCTACTGTTCTGTACTGGCTACTGTATTTCTGTAACCGCTACTAATAATAATAATAATAATATTTAATATTTATATTGCGCAAATTAACATATTATAGTATATGATCAAATACTGACAGTACTGTATTTGTGGAAAGGCTTCAGTAATTGACAATAATAATCAACCGGTATTAGACGTATTACAGAAGAACGCAACAAATTAGAGAAGTAGAACTGCCAGAAGCGAGACACTTTCGGTATTTTCACTGTATTAATTAATGACTTCTGAAACACGCCAAAACGGAAAATCGCCAACAGGATATATTAATAAGTGGAAGCACAATTGAGTAATTGACAATCAATCAAATTAATAAAACATGAATTGCAAAAAATATAAATGAACGATGCACAATATTCTCTTGTCATAGTGACGAAGTTCGTAATCGTAGTCTGGGTATACTGCGTTACAAGTACAACTACAGTTTTCTGCGAAAAACAAGACATGGAACGATCGATCGCAAAGCTCGAAACAGCTCGCCAAAAACGGGAAGGTGGCGGATTTTTAGTTCGAAGGCCAGTTGGTGATAAAATTGATTTCAGTGCATGCGATCCGTTTTTGATGTTAGATCACATGGGTCCAGCAGACTATGGCCCCGGAGAGGCTGTTGGCGCACCAGATCATCCTCACAGAGGCTTTGAAACTGTCACTTATATTATTGAAGGTATATGTTGAAGTTGTGTTTTTAATATCATGACGTCATTTGTTACGTAATTTAATACTTTGTTATGTAATTTGATACATTTGTTTTTTATCTGAATAAAACAATTCTCTCTCATCATTGATAGATTACTAAATACTCACAGTCATTTTTATCAATACAGTATTGGATTATTAATAAAATTTGACTATGTCAGGATAAGGGGTGCACTCTTATCACAGGCAGCTGAACCAGGGGGATAGGTGTTCTGCGCCCCCCCCCCCCACCACCCCTACTTTCAAAAAGTGGAAAAAAGTGTGTATGTATATGGTCTATAGCCAAAATGCATGATTCTTGGAGTAAAGAACCCCATAATTATATTAAATGTTTGTATAATTTCAGGCAGTATGACCCCATATAGGCAGAGATATGGGGTACATACTTCCTTTCTAAAACCATATGCATTCCAAGCCACACCCATAGTTCTATATATAATTTCAGGCAGCATGAGCCACAAAGACAGTGCAGGCAACAGTGGCGACTTACTACCAGGCTGGGTGCAATGGATGACTGCAGGAAGTGGTGTGGTCCATAGTGAAATGCCAAGTGAAGAATTGTTGAAAAATGGTGGAAGATTAGAAGGCTTCCAGCTCTGGGTGAACTTACCAAAGAAAGACAAAATGATTCGACCACGTTATCAGGATACTGCAGCTGAGAAAATTCCAGTGGTGAAATCAAATGGTACTTGTTTATGGTTGTTGTACTAATACACTGTAGTCAGAAAATCACATCAATATTGCAGATAAAACATTGTCTATCCTTAGAGGCAGATGATGGCATAAACACTAAACAGATATAATAAATATTTACACTTTTGTTTTCCTCCAATTTTTCAGATGGTAAGACAACAGTGAAGGTGATAGCAGGTGAAAGCTTGGGAACAAAAGCAGTCATTGAGACAAGATCACCAATATTGTACCTAGATATCCATGTTTCACCTGATGGGTCCTTCACTCAGAAAATCCCAAGTGATTTTAATTGCTTTGTGTACACATGGAGAGGGTCAGGGTTCATTGGGGAAACTGCAGTAAAAATGGGCCAGGTATGCTATGCATAGAGAAAGTCTTTTGATTTTTGTATGCTGAGGTGTATGACTTAATGGTTGGAACACTCATGAAACCTTTATTTTGCTAGTCTAGACATTGAAAT